CTAATAGGGCATGCACTTACAGTGCAGCTACGTTACTACATGAGACTTATAAAATTGAAATAAATCAATAGCAAAATGCGTTGAATTATAAATCTTACATTGTGTCTTTTTAAGAATTCGTCGTCTTCATATGCTGTCCTGTTATTCAACAGAGGTCCTCCCAATATTTGAAGTTGTTAGTACCTACGCAGTGCTAAAGTGTACGGGGGTTTTTTTTTTTTTGCAAACCGGGTGCCTGCTTTGGACTTGCAGGTAAGCCTGGAGATGGCAAGAAAGACCTGGAAATTACGGTAGCGCAATAGGCGGAATGGGAATCGAATGGTTGTAATACCAAGAAACGCCATCCCGTCGACATGGGGGTTATAGATCGAACCCGAAGTCGCGCTAATTCACTCTGCCGTCTCGGCCCCCAATCTTGGATCTTGAAATGTTCCTAGAGGTTCGATATGCATACACGTCAAAACTGCCAATAGGGTGCCAGATGCTTGGGGCCGAAATCTCGAAAAACGAAGAAACCCCAGGTAGCGTCGCAGGTGCAACGATGACGACCAGCGGTCTGAGATTCGAGACGGGTTCTCGAAGCCGGACCGCTGAACGCTTCATGGACAGGTGTGACAAACCGACAGCGCGTCCAATTGCAGGTCCTCTGGGCACGAAACTTCATTCGATCATCATGGTCACACGTACGAATCAAGATCACTACTGGGGAGTGTCTTCTCCTATCAAACCAGTGACGGCAGCCTCACTCCGCATGCCGAGTGTCAACCCTCGGGCCATCTTTAGGTCGAACCCCGGACGCTTTACACTAGACCCATGAACTGCCGGCCCTACAATGTCCAATCGCCATCTCCAAGACTCGAAGTCGTTCCCACTCGCACTCGTCTGAGACCCAGTCTTCAAGTCGTTGATTCGGGGCATTGCCACCCAAAGATGTGCGTGCCAAGGATGTGTCGCGAACTCTCCAAGCTCTCCAGAGATCCACCTCGCCCTCTTTGACTGGCTCCCCCAACATTCACCCCGCACCTCAGACGAAAGTTGAATGGAGACACACGTTAGCTTCCCCAGCAACTCATAGCAAGCCGGTTCCACCCCCGCACTTCTCTTCAAACACCCCTTACTCCAGACGAGCCTGATCCGCACTTCTGCCCCGTAATGTTTCGTTCAAGAACCAGGAGTTATACGGCTTACTTGCCTCTCTGGCGAGGGCTACGTGCTATGTAACCATGGGGATGCCAAGGGTGGCCATGTCCATCTTGCCTTTGTGCATGGCGACATCAGGCTCGAAACGACCGAGAGTGTGGCCGGCTCGAGCACTTAAGTACAACCTTTCGTCCGACCCAGCGTCCCTCGGCCCAGAAGAGGTCCGCTTACTCTTTGACGTGTCTCACCAGTCCCTCCCAAGCGTCAACGCTGCGGTCCAACGGTTACCAGTACGCCTGTTTCTTCGTGAGGCTTTGACATACTCACAGCATACGTCGCCGACGAGCGATCATCCCCAAAGTGCCCTCCCCGGACCCAGCAGGCGATCGGCTATTTTGCATACACCTATAAGATGGGTGTCAAGGAGTTCTTCCACAAGCGTTCCTTGCGCCAAAAGGACGATGTGCGCACCAACGCCGCCGAGCTGACGCTGAAAGAGTCTTTGTTCCCAATCTTCCTTGTTACCATTCTGTTCTTCCTCTGGGGCTTCTCTTACGGTGCGCCACCTCCATCAGCCTAATCTCCTCTGCCAAGCAGCAGATGTGCTGACTTTGCTTCGTTAGGTCTACTCGATACTCTGAATAAGCATTTCCAAGAAACGCTAGGTATTAACCGAGCGAGGTCCTCCGGCTTGCAGGCTGCTTATTTTGGGTACGTTCCTCCGTCGCGATAACTGCGTGCCAATCCACGGACCTGGCCGAGATGCTGTGTGCTTTGAAGTTCGCCGGGTTATTCGCGTCTCCGCCGAGAACCAAGAAGCATCATTGTTGGATTGTGCGACTCCCGCCTGGAAATCAAAGCACGCATCAGCTTCGGCGACCACCCAGAAGACACCAAGTTGCTAACTTTTACTTCACAGAGCCTACCTCATTGCTAGTCTTGGCCATGCCGCCTGGATCTTGAGGCATTGGGGCTACAAGGCCACCTTCGTCTTTGGCCTCTTCCTCTACGGCCTCGGTGCTCTCATCGCAATCCCATGCATCATCGCCAAGAGCTTTGGCGGCTTTTGTGCCGCCATCTTCATCATCGGTAACGGCCTTGGTTCCCTCGAGACGGCCGCTAACCCGTACATCACCGTCTGCGGCCCTCCCAAGTACAGCGAGATCCGAATCAACATCTCCCAGGCCTTCAACGGTATCGGTACCGTCGTGGCTCCCGTCATGGGCTCTTACGTCTTCTTCGCCTTCGACGACAAGCGCGCCTTGGAGAATGTCCAATGGGTCTACCTTGCCATCGCCGTCTTCGTCTGGTCCCTTGCCGTTGTCTTTTGGCTGGCGAGGATCCCTGAGATAACGGATGCCGACATGGCTTTTCAAGCTTCCGAGACGCATGCCAATGTTGACGACAAGCCCTTCAGGAAGCAGTACCGCCTATTCCATGCCTCTTTTGCCCAGTTCTGCTACACTGGCGCTCAGGTTGCTATCGCCGGGTAAGTTGATGTTATGAAATGCCAGAGAGAGGACGGTCGGCTGACATCGCATCCAAGTTTTTTCATCAACTACGTGACCGAACGCCGTCCCAATACCGACAGTGCCCTCGGCTCAAAGTTCCTCGCTGGCGCCCAGGCTGCCTTTGCTGTTGGCCGCTTTATTGGTGTCGGTATCATGCACTACGTCAAGCCCCGTTGGGTCTTTCTCGGCTTCCTTTCGTGCTGCATCATATTCATTGCTCCTTCCATCACCCAGGATGGTGATGTTGGCATGGCAATGCTTTACATTGTCCTCTTCTTCGAATCCATTTGCTTCCCGACTATCGTAGCGCTTGGTATGAGAGGTCTTGGCAGACATTCCAAGAGAGGAAGCGGGTTCATCGTTGCTGGTAAGTAGTATCGTAAGATCAGCCATATTGTCTGAGCAATTACTCACATTTATTAGGTGTGTCTGGTGGCGCTGTCGTGCCTCCTCTCCTCGGTGTCGTTGGCGATGCCAAGGGTATGGGTACTGCCATGGTCATCCCTCTCATCTTCTTCGTGCTGGCGTGGTCATACGCCTTTGCCGTCAACTTCATTCCGAGATACCGCAACATTGCCGACGCCTTCAGCACTACTGAGGTAGGCATACGGCCTGTCGACGCGGATGGTGAGAAGGGAGGGATCGAGGCTATCGAGGAAAAGCAGACGAAGAACGCCACCCTTACTTTGCCATGAGCTATCACTGCTTCTCCCATATCACAGCAAATCAGACGGACCGTTGTAATTATGTATTGAGATACCACCTGGCTTATTTAATCTGAAAACGACTGTGTTAAGCAAAGGTATCTGAACTTTTTCATGTGACTGTCATTACTCTGTACTTACGGTCGGTAGGTGGTTCCTAACTTATTTCGTCATCGTTCCGGTTATCAGCAATCTTAAACCAAAGTTATCAAAAGAAAGATCGAGCCAGTTCGGGTTCCGCTTTATCTCGATCGACTTGGACAAGGCTACTGTGATTTGCAATCAAGTCAAGAAAAGGGTACAGGCGTTTCATTGGGTAGGAGTCAGACCAAGGGAGGTTTTCCGGTCACCATCGTTGGCCCCCACGTTTGGGTAATTCCCCCACTTGTGACACCTGTTGGGAATTGTTTCGGAATCACCGACGCTTGTAAACTTCTAGAGAATGGGCCATTTATTTTTATTTTCTATTTTTGCCATCATCCGAGTGCTCAAATCTCAGCATGTCGGTACTCGTGGCACACCTTGGGCGTTTTTCGCTGTGCTAACAAACTTCTCGCCCCAGAAAAAAGTCGTTCTTGTAAAGTGCTGCACAAGGTTGTCCTAATACGATATACCAAAAGAAGCATGGATGTATCAAAATGCCACGTTATCTTCAAATAGATATCCACATACTTTGCCGCATCGGAACAACTTGCAATAACATCTTGATTGGCAATGAATGGTAGGATGATGCCTCAGTAGTGGCTCCCTCAACACTTCACCCACAATCCTATCTCTTTGCTATATTGCCATTTTTGTTCATTTTGAGTCATCTAGTACATAACAAGTAAGATCTCACTAACTTCAAGCAAGTGGGACTTGCCGGTCGGTCTACATCACATAACTAGCGAAAGGTAGCGTGGCTGTGTAGGATTGGTACCTGAGGCCACGAGCTCTGGTCTATACCTTCCAGCCAGAGGTCAGCTCACTTTAAACTCTTCACGGAGACATGAGTATACTCGTCAGCGATACGGCCACAGCTGCCATCCCCTGCGATGACCTCTGTGGCCTTCCCACAAGTGGCCACTTACAACGACGTATGAGTTGGACCAGTATGACGGTGATATCTGTGACCGACTGCACAAGTTTTGCAATTCACTAGATTGGAATTTTGCTGAATCAGTTAAAAGCAGTTGACACAGGCATGTTCAACTCAAATATAAAGTCATCGTTTCTGTTTCAAACTGCTATCAATAGTCTGAGTATACTGTTCTGAGAGTAAGATCTGGGTGTTTAGCTGTGTGTTTACCTGTACTTGCTTGTTGAATGTTCATGAACAAACTGTTCTACCTTGGCTAGTATCTATGCACTGTGACTAGGTAGATGAGTCATTTGAGTCCTTGTAAATTCTTCTGTGAGTCACATGCATTTGACACGTAAAAGTAGATCATTAGATACAAACTGATGTTCAATTCTTCAATTTTATTTGAATAATTAGAAGTAGACTTAAAAAAAAAACTGCATGATTTAATCTTTCGACACCTCGTTTTTCATCAAAAGTCACTTGTGGTACCTACATATTCTTTAGCTTTTGTTCGTCCAATCACTTAAACTAAAGAGTTTGAGGGGATAGTGGCTCAGTGTACGTGGGTACCGGCGGTCTTGCAATGAAGGTTAACAAAGCAGGTCGCTCTTATAAAACAAAGAACTTGTTTCGGTGTGAAGATGGCGTTGTCGTCTAGTAGCGATGCGCACTATTAGTCGCAAACTGTTTTTTGTCAGCGATTCTCTTTCAAAAGAGAAGGCCGTTATTTCATCATGCCAGCTAGCAGGGGATACCTACTCGCAAGTAGAACCTATAATGTTACGTTGTATTTGTTTTCCATTTTCGAAGACAATATTCGAGTGACAAAGGCGGACAACGTTGAGCTAGCTTCAGATTGTACAAATAATCAACCATGATACAGTTTTGGAAAAAGTGGTTTATACACAAATGGGAGTCAGGATTATATACGGCAAGCTTTCCATAGACGATTCCAGTTCTCGCACTGCCGCTATCCGGCTCCGGCGCCGTGTCGACCTCTGACCCCGCACTACGCTCAGCCGGTCCGGAAGACGGCGACCGGCGTCCACACCTTCGCCGACCTCGGTCTGACTACAGACGATCATTTCCTTCCGGGTCCACAACTTGACCGACTTCGGTGCTGCCGAACAGGCCTGAGGCCCGCGGCACTGTGCAGCGGCTGCAGCGGCCGCAGTGACTTTGCAGATATGAATCGCACGTGTCTGACAAGTGCCTGTTGAATGTCTCAATACCAACGGGCGCGCTAGACATTGAGTACAAAAAATTGACTACATGCTACCCGACAAGTCGGAAATATCTTTGAGTATGGATATCAGCAGTTAAGCAGACACATTGTTTCTGACCCTTTTGAACCAGGTGTCCATCAAATGCTGGGGTTTCGGTAGAGAAGCGATGCTCGTCCCGTTCGCGGCTGCTCAAGCTCGACTGTGCCGAGGTTACGAGATATGTCATCGAGGGAATCTGAACTACAAACGAAGCTCATTCACGACTTGACACAGTGGCAGATCCAGCACTGTTCCACCGGATTCATCACTGATCATGCTTGCCTCACGAACGGCATCTCTCACTGAACATTGAAACAAGACGTTTGGTGTTGAGCCGCATCGTGACGATCGGTCATTCTCCATAAAATCCGCCATCTGAACATCGTGGAGTAAAGTATGGACCGCCCACTGCTGAAGACTTTTGGTGGATTCAAAATTGGGACTGGAAGATTTTACTCGAACGTCTGTTGTTGACACAGTTGCACGTTTGAACTGTAAAAGAAGCGTCAATCTCCCCAAGATTGCAACATTAAGGCTTAAGACCAACTCAACAAGATACCCTCGGGCGCCATTTGTGTGCATGGACTTGTGCGAAAAGGAAATCATCGTGAAGTTCGGACTTTGCCTTGAAGGGGAGCATTCCAGCCGCCCTTTGCACAGCATACTACTCACCTCGGTCTACCATCTGGTAATCTCGCGGAAAGGCGGTATCAATCAGGATTTCGACAGAAACCTGGGACAAACCAATCTTGCCAACTTACTGGATGATGCGAAATGATTTACCTCAGCAACCGAGCGCGATGCGTTTGCAAGCAGGTATCTAGTAATGCTGACCATTGTACCTGAGTCGCAGCACCCCATTTCTGGTTTCTTTCTCTGGTTCGGATCGACAGTTTCGCGGGGTTGGCGGGGACGGCGATATTTTTTTTGGTGGTTCCGATCTGGGGTTGAGGCTATCGTGACATTTGGCATCCATGTGGGGTTGAAATTCCTGGAACTTCGTGCTTCCTGGCAGTTGACGCCATTCCGATAACTCTGCTTGACTCGAATGCGGCGCTGCGCATCGATCAGTGCTCCTATAATGTCGTAATTGGCACTCTCCAGAGCTATCCGGCTCGAGTTGATGAAGAAATTGCCAGGACCCTGAGGCATTTTCGGTTTCCTTTCATCTGCCGCATTCTCCGCTCCCGAGAACGACCGACAATGATGTAGATCAACATACAGGAACTCTGTGCTGTAACATCACTCGAAGTGATAGACATCTCTTTCCCTGCGGCCTTTGACAAGAGTTTTCCTCACTGACGCCATTCCTGACTCGTGCCACGTCGAGCATTGATTGATGCAATTCTCGGTTATCTTTGGAAATCTAGATGCGCGCTACGGCAGTGACGGCCGCGTCTTTGATATGGCTGCATGAAATGTAGTGCTGCCTACTCGTTACAGCGTCGGGCGCAGTCGCCATCAACTAGCATGTGCAGTAGATAGAGACGGCCCTACTCGGGAAGTAAGTCCACCGCCTTGTTTCGCTGTTATTTTCGGCTGCCTTTCGCGGGTGTCTCTTGTTCCTCATCCTAGCCTTCCTGTTCAGACGAAAACAGAAAACAGGCCTCATCGCCCGATCTCGATGCATTAAGACGTAATCTTACCGCAGCCCTCTACGCTACCTACGACATGGACTTGAAATCCCTCATGAAACCAAGTTTGATAGTGCAGCCTCGCCAGGGTTCGGCATCCAGCGAAAAGGTTTGAAATTCAGATCATCATCCAATGAAGGCAACCATCATAGCAACCAAGGCTTCAGAGCGAAATCCATTATCAATGTTATGGTGACTTGGTGGAGCTTTGGCCCCATCCACCAGTTACAAAGGCCAACACACCGCCAATGACACCGAGTGCTTATGGGATTTTTGAACTGCCCGCTTCATGCACCGTGCCGAGAAGCTCAGGAGCGACATTTTTCACCTTGCAGATGTCTCCACCAAGGATCATCTCTGCCTGCAGCCTGCGTTGCCCGTTGAGTTGATACCCCTATCGGCCGTTTCTCTCACCGTGAGACGGGGTCCCTACGTCTTAGCGTAGTCCACATAACGAGGCCATCCTGTCCAGTAAGAAGGTCTGTGTTGAGTCCGCAATCACGCCAGGCTGGGAAAAAGTGCTCGTTACCTTGGTTGAGATAAAAGATAAACTGGAGCCTCGCGTGGGTCACTGATAGGACCATGTCTCAGGGTGCAGGTCAGATAGGGAGGTTGGTCGGCATCGGCGTTCATCGACATTCTCGATGTTCTGAACAGGGATTGTGGAAGGCACTTTTCTGGCACGGCTACCTGCTTTCTTTTGTCGGGCCAGAAGACAATCCGGATGTCTCCTTGCCGATCTACTGCTCGTATCTGTAGTGTAGTAGGCGCCTCCAAACTTGCTGGGCTGCCTGGCAGCCCGGCGTACATGTGAAAATACTCTCCGAATTGATTAAGCTGTTGATCGATGGGTCCTACCGTCTTAGCCCAGGGTCTTAGGGTCTCTCTGATTCCTGCAAAGTCAATCCTCTCTGTTCATCCTCTGCTGAGTTGGCATACCGGTAAGTGACTCCGACACCGACAATCTGATACGAACATGTCAAGTTCGGGTACACGGACTTCCGCCGATAAGGCAGGGCGCGCGCGACCCTCCAATGGCCATCAGGCTGTTGCAAACGGCCTGAGTTCCCTTCAGAGGAGGCAGCCCATCCCGTTGAGGGCACTGATTGCCCGGACTGAAGGAAGAGCGGGCCCTTCCGAACCCTCCCGATAGGGGTCCTGCAGGCTGTATGCCTCCATCAACTCCCATCTTGTCTCCATCAGCCTCCATTCCGCCCTACATCGGGACCCTCCAATGACATCAGGGAGCAGCCTGAAACCACGTTCCTGAGTCTCGCAGGGCATTGGACCAATTAAAGACTTGCTACAAGGATGCTGTCTATTCCAACAGGCCCCAGCGGCAGGGCGCTAGAACAACTTTTCCAGACTTTGATCTCTAGCAATGCAAGAGACACTGCCCTGCCTGTACATGTGAAATGGCAAATTCGCGACTCGCATTGCGCATCCCTCGTAACACCGCCTTCCATGCCGGGTTGTCATAGACGAACTCGTCTAGCACACCTTTAGCACTCTACCGTGCATTCACTACCACTCAATCACACACAACAGGAACGATTGCGGGAACTTCTCAGGCTTCAGAGGTCCATTTCTGATGGAGCTCGAGCTGCACCACGTTTTGAACTGGTCCACCTTGGCCGTGATGCTGTCGGCAGCTTGACGTCATATGGGTAAAAATTGCGTCTGTCGCTTAGTGCGGCTTTTCATTTCACGATACCTTACCCAGGATACTGTACGTACCCATCTTTTCAACGTCTCCGTTAAAAACTGGGTTTTCTTTTTCAGCCGTAATCGATGCCGATGCTGTGCCTCCGATGCCTCGTGTCCATCTGCCGCGGCTGAAACGGCGCCTGCTGTGTCTTCGGGAGTAATGACCGAACAAAGTCCCTCGAGGCTTGGCTCTTGGGAGTCGGAACTCCTGCAGCGATCTCCAATTTTTTCTGCCCTTCAGACTTGCTCTTGTTGGTGAAATTTCTCATGGGCATTGTAAGATTTGCGCCAAGGTGACCCCGATATTCGCCACAGCCGCGGGAAAAAAAATTTGTGAGGCTCAACAATCCGATCGGACCCTATAATTCAGCCTCATAGACCAATAATTCTGGTGATCAATTCGTCTGATACATCGCGTAGTCCGCCATATACATGCGACATGAGTCGAGTTTAGCAGCCAAGGTCGGTGTTCGGCGGCCGGAACTGAGGCCTGCCGCAGGTACCTAGCCAGCAGCTACTGTATTTCCATACATATTAGAGAATCCTGACTCGGACGTCGCCCATCGGCCCAGCATCGGCGGAGACACGGCACGTCATCGGACCCATCACCCGGCGGAGCAGCGGCCCAGCACCGGCGGAGAACCTCTACGTCATTGGGCCCAGCACTAGCGGGTCGAAGGCCCAGAGATAACGGGGCATCAACCTGGCACCGTTGAGACAACGGACGAGTACCGACTGGGAACCGCTAGCATCGACTCGGAAACGACATTGGTTTACATGGAAGACCGACTCACCACCATCGAGGTACCGACCCTCGACATGATATGGGGCAACATGTTGGAGAACGGATCCCCATTCAAGACGGGGGGCATCAACCCAGTACATACGGGAAATTCACCACGGCGGGTCCGCGGCTGGCGACAAGAGAGGACGCCATCGGTCCGAAATAGGTAATAGGAGAAGATACAGAGAGACATCGAAAAGGATAAAAGGAAACAGATAAGTCGGCAACATCTGCTCTTGTTCTTGGAAGCATCACTCACACACCAACCACTCCAAACGGCCTTAACAAACCAACAAGCACTTCGCTTTGATACCCAACACATCCTTCTATTCGAACATCTACACAACAACCCTTCAAATATTTACAATGGCCACCCAGTTCGCTTCCCGTCAGCCTGAGATTGGCATGGAGAAGGTTATGCCTACCCGCCAGGACTCTGGATACGCTTCTCCTTGCGACTCTCCCCGCTTGACCGTCAGACTCAACGACGGCAACGAGATCCCTCAGATCGCCCTCGGTGTCTACAAGGCCCCCAACGGCCAGGAGACTGAGGATGCCGTCATTGCCGCTCTTGACGCCGGCTACCGCCACATCGACTCTGCCGCCAGATACGCCAACGAGGAGGCTTGCGGCCGCGCCTTGAAGAAGTGGTTCCAGAAGACCGGCACCCCCAGATCTGAGGTCTTCGTCACCACCAAGCTTTGGGACGCTGACCACGGCTACGAGGCCACCTTCAAGGCTCTCTGCGACTCCCTTGAGAAGTTTGGCCTCGACTACTTCGACCTCTACCTCATTCACTCCCCCTCCGACAACAAGGAGAAGCGTATTGCTTCCTGGAGGGCCCTCGAGACTGCTCAGCGCCTCGGCAAGGTCCGCTCCATCGGTGTCTCCAACTTCAGCTCCCAGCACCTTGAGGAGCTGATGCAGGAGACCTCCGTCGTCCCTGCCGTCAACCAGATCGAGGTTCACCCCTTCTGCCAGCGCCAGGACCTCGTCGACACCTGCCGCAAGCACGGCATCGCCATCGAGGCCTACTCTCCCCTCGCTCGCGGCAACAAGCTCGAGGACCCCACCGTCGGCAAGATCGCTGAGAAGTACGGCAAGACCCCTGCTCAGATCCTGCTGAACTGGAACGCCGCCCGCGGCAACATCGTCCTCCCCAAATCTCTCACTGCCCACCGCATCAAGTCCAACTTCGAGTCCTTTGACTTTGAGCTCTCCCAGGAGGACATCGCCACCATTGACGCTCTTGATGAGAACTACGTCACCGGCTCCCTTCACAAGGAGTAAATGATGTCTCGACATCTGCCCTTCGGGCACCCCTTTGATCGGCACATACACTGCTGGGATAACCAGCAACATCTGAGCATTCCTCCATCCTGAGGGCATTGGAACAGACTCTACATCTGCCGGCGTGACGCATTACGCACGTCGTCCATCCAGGACATTTAAAAAGGAGTTGATTGCAACATGCGCCATTCGGCGTTTTATTCCCCCCGCCGAAGAGTTTGATTCGGAGTTTGGATTCTTTTTTGGGAGGACACATAGACAGAAGATCTAGACGAGCGAGATAAACAGCACATCAGGTCCAGCCTGGTACGAATTTATGCCCCAATTTTCTAAACTTAGCTCTCTTATGACGACTTGAGTGATTGTTTCATGACTGTGCCTTGGCCTAATGAATGTGATTGCAAGGACTAGATACTGATCTTTGACTTTGCAGAGAGCGATCTCTACATACCGGTACTACTGGATCGTATCGAAGTTATCTGCTGTGCTTATCAGCCCCTCCCCCTTTTACGCTTGACCATCCTCAGTAGCCGGCCCTAGAGTGTGGGCACCGTGGGTTCACGATCCAGGTTCCAGATCTCCGGGACAGGTCACAGGCATTCACCCGCGTGGGTCCAAAGGACTCCGAGCTCACGTGTTACTGTGATTTGGACGACAAGAACTGCCTTTCGATTCACAAGTCTTTCCGAATGCTCGCTACGATGCGTTGATTAGATACATCGCTTGAAATCACATGAAAAAATTTGGCAACGAAGTTTACAATAACCCATGCTTGACCCAAAACGAAGAATTTTTCTTGCAAGTCCCACTTATCTAAGGCTGCGATCGACTGTCATCGATGACGGTCCTCTGATTCTAACCAACCCCCTTGTTCTTAAAGGCCCAATCCGGGCTCGAATTGAACATCCAACGGCATCGCGTCCAGGGTGTTTGCAAGTTCCAACGCCGACGCCATGGGCCAATCCCAGACATTCCATTGCAGTTGGTCGAGCACAGGTTGCTGGGTATCTTTGGCAGAGAATGTTTTTTTCCGGAGCACATCGAGGACATCAGCACACTGAGCGATATACCCCCTTGCGTCATCGGCTCGCAGCTGTTTCAGTGTTTCGGCGCAAGTCTTGACCAAGTCCTCGTCCTCTTCGTCGCTTGCGATTGGTTGGCCTTTCCATCTCGCAAATAACAACGTCAAGCCAGCCTGCCAAAGCATGTGTAATCCGTTCGGGTAGAGGTGGACAATTGCGATAGCTTCAATGCCCTGTTGTGGCGCATCGATGTTTGAGTCAAACACACTTGTAGCAGTCAGCCTAATCAGCTCGGCAGAAGCGCGACCGCATGCGAGCAGAGAGGCATTGAATTGTGGATCCGCGGTTGTAAACGCAAGGGCCGGCCGGTGCACATGGACTGTGGCATTGTAGAACGCAGCGCGGAGGAACATCACTTCGAATGTGTTTGTCGATGCGATAGGGGGTAGGTCCACACCGTCGTCTTCAGGGTCGGCTACCTTGTCTATGGGTAGCATTCGTTTCCACATGGTTAGTTCGGCTTGCAGTTGGTTAACTTTGGTTACGCCGCCGCGCCGCCGAGTGGTCGAGTACAGCTTTTCTAAAGCTTTACCAACGATGACCGCGAGCTTGAACATGCACAGTGCGGTATCGACTTGGGTACGCTCTCCAGGAAGGGGGAAAGCCACTCTCTCGCGCGATACTTGGTCGTGATCAACTCGTGATGGAAGATCGGTATCGACGTCCTGGTCTCGAATGAGCCTTGGCATGCCGTGATAGGCGCTGGAAAATCTGTGAGGCATGTGAGTTGCCATCAAGATAGAAGTCAGGAGACGGGAGCAACCCACGTATCAAGCGAGTACTGGCACCACCATACGCGACGTCGCAACTCAGTCTCTAGTGGATCAAACTTAAACCTTTGAGAGTGTCGGTGAAGCCCAAGGTTCTGTGCCATTCTTGTTGCCATTCCTCCGAGTTGAGAAGCTACTGAGTAGCGAGACGAAAGTTGCAGATAGATTTGAGCAATCTCCAGCCCTTGCAGGGTTTGCAAAGACGGTCTTTCATGGAGAACGTTGGTTAAGGTAGAAGCCATTGCATAATACTTCTCCGAAAGACACAAGAAGTGTTGGTGATTCTGTCCACAAGACCCCGAGAGCCCGAGAGTTCCCAATGCAAGTAAACCAAGTACTTGGTACATCATCCTAAGATCCCCATGTTCTGGATCTTCATTTAATCGACAGAAAGCCTCGAGAGTAGAGTGTTTATGCACAATAGGGTAAAGTGGTGTCCAGCGGTCGATGGTCGCTTCAAGGATCTCCGCCGAGTTGAGCGGGAGTTGAGAGACCATCGTGACAATCAGGTGTGACTCGGAATCTTTGGGGAGATGCCCCAAATATTATGAAGGTAGAGGTTGTATACGCTGCTCGGAAATGTTTCAGTATGAATCCTCAGCATTTGCAATTGTTGCTCGGCCTGGCTGATGAAGTGGACGCCTGTTGATGATCCCGCAAACATTGCAACTTGATCGTCGCTAGACACCAACCTTCCCATGTGACCAACCACGGGTTCTGCGCCCTGCCTTGTTCTCAAAGCCGGAGGAGCTTCTGTGCGGCGCGACCAAGTGGATAGTGGTCTGTGTGCGTCGTTGCCAAGAAAGTGGCTAAGCGGTGATTGTTCCGAGACAATACGTTGTTGCCGTAGTGTTCCTTGGTCTGGAGACTGTGAGGCCTGCGCAACTACGCCAACCGCAGGCTCCGGTGTTTCCGAGGGAGCAGACCCATTACCGCGGTCTTCGATGGCTTCGTTTTCATAGTAGCTGGGAAAGTGTTAGCGGGCTATATTGGGATCAAGCTGGCTTTCGGTGGTAACTCACCTTTTCCTCTTTCTGTTGCGTTTCAACTTCGTTGAGACGATGCAAGCTACTCCCCCCATGGCACAAGGGGTGCACTATAGCACATTAGTCTAGTTCATGGGTGACTTAGGGCGGGAAGGCATGCCTCGAGCGGCAGCTTACCTTCTCGCCATCGCCATAACATCGAATTTTTCGTCTAGTAGATATGTTCAAGTAAGCCTGTGAAATTAAATGTAGGCAGACTAGGCTGCAATCTAGCCCAAGACAGGAACTGCTTACCGGCGGCAGCGATCGCTATAGAAGGTGTTAGCATTTCATTATTCTACGTAACGGGGGCCCTCTCACCAAACCTGTCCCGAGTGCGCCTTGGAAAGAATCCCCTGACCATTCATATTCTATATGTCACCGATCATTGTAAGTTGTCTTGAGTGCGATGCTAGTTGGGGTTCGTCGGGCCTCAGGCGCATAGCAAGGCGCGTGCACGTTAGATATGAAATGGCGATGAAAATTTGTGAGGGAGAAGATCGTCCAGTCCGATCAGAATCCGCCAATCCGCCAAGTGAGTTAAATGTGTTTTTTGTTGCATATATTCATTTATTGCATATAACCCAAGTAACGGGAAACAGTCTTAGTGCCGTGGTGAAAATTCACCCTCATGAAATACGATGGTCGGAAAGCAAAGCCCGTTACTAGAGCCCATTTTGTCTTTTTTCAATAGCGAGCGGCTGAGGTAGCACTGCATTCATGCGGGCTCGACGTGTTCCTTTGACTGGTAATCCATCGCGGAAGACGGCGCATCAGAAAATCTGGGGTAACTCGCATGGAAATATCTCAATTGGTTTCACAGCTGTTCGGCCGAATTGTATATGTGATCGCGTCTTTTCAGGGTTAATCATGGTCGCAGGAAGCAACTTTACCCAGCCAGAAAACGACTTGAATACTTGAACCTTCTTAATGATTCAGCGAAATTGGAGCACCCAACGAGGTTGCGTGTATGATGTGCCGATCCGGTAAACCCCTCCTGTTCAAAGGTTGGAGAGGGATTGATGTTCTCCTCATTAGTCCCACATGCCTCCTAGAGGGGGTGCATGTCGGTGGCCGTTCCAAGCTCATGTGCCCTGGCCCTCGACTTGTCTTTGTTCCTGTTTGAGCCTCAAAATGCGCGCTGCATTCAACTACACGTGAGATGCGAAATGCTCTTAAAGAGCCTTTCAGTCATCCTTTCTTTGAAACATTTCGTGTTGATACAATTTGAAGTTGGTGATATACAGGCTCCGTTGTGTTTACCTTGTGCAAAGGCTGCCAGACCATGTCGATACGATACTTGAGTGCAATGAAATTACCTGCCGCCCTTAGACCGCGCGGCTTAACTCGAGCAGGGCAAGCTTGGCACCTTTGTAGACTAAAATTCAAAGCCTTGGTAGTCGGGTAATTTTATTATCTGTAAGGTATGTGTGTCTCTTCTGACGTGTCAGGCACGGGAAAGTTCATGCGCCTTGTCACTCCTAGGAAGAGTAACCCCGTCGTTGACATTGCTCGGAACCCTGCGCGTACTCTGACACACACTTCAATACCTTACCCTCATCCCCCTTTCTCCCTTCTTAACTCAACCCTCCCTAGCTGGAGCCGCCCCGTATGTGCTACGCCTCAGTCAAGTCGGTGGACTTTTCGGTCTAGAACCGAACTCTAGCATACAAGTCGCAGCCTGTCTACTCGTCGTCGTTGATGTCGACAACGGTCTTCTCCCACTGGCGAGCTGGGACACGTCGCTTGAATAGGATATCGATCTCGCGGAAGGACCGACCCTTCATCTCTGGCAAGTAGAGCCACGATACGGCGAAACAGAAAAAGCCAGTTGCACCCCAAACGTAGCCGCACCTGCCGCCCAGGTTCACGCCCTATTATCAATTTAATTGTAAGCGAACTCGGGCTCGTTATTGTAGGAATTTGGGATGGGAGGGATAGGAGCAATCATACCGTCGGGTTGAGCATATAAGTTGCGAGGAAGATACAAGGGATGTTCACGACATAGTAGGCTCCACGTCCAATACCAGTCGTCAGGGGGCGGAGGCGAACAGACGATGTCTCTGCAATGATGACCCACGAAGCGGGTGCAGGGCCAAGCGTGAAACCAACCGAGACGATAAGGCCCAGTGACGCCATCGCCAAAGAGGCCGAGGTAGACGTGCCAACAGAGCCTGCAACGCCAAGCGCGATCAGAAAGAGGACATTAATGAACGAGCCCCAAACGTAAATGGTTCGTCGGCCGAGATATGTCGTGAGAATCCAAGAAAGCATAACAAAGATAGTTTGTAGAGCGGAGGTAATAAGACCAAGGGCAAAGGCAAGCTGCGAACCAATACCGGCCTCTGTTTATACGTTAGTCCGAATGATGCAACATTTACCACAAGTAGATGGCAAATAAAAACAGCAACTCACGCCTGAAGAAGTAAACGGCTTGGTTGGCGATAAGGTTACCCGTGAGGTTCTGAGCCGCATACACACCACAAACAATGAGGGTGCGGTATCTATCAGTGCCTTTGAACAGCTCAATATAACTAGGCTCCTTTTCGGTTTTCTCAAGCTCAATAGTACGACGCATCATGGCGACAGTCTCATCGGCGTTCGTAGCCGACGCACGCCCAAGGCGTCGAATCGAAACTGCAGCTTGCTCAAGACGTCCCTTGCGAACCAGCCACCAAGGTGACTCGGGAGCCACAAAGAGGAGGATGGCGAGGGGTGTGGGGAACATCCATTGAAGCGCAATAGGAATCCTGGTTTACGTGTTGTCAACATTAAAGGAGAAATCCATCAGGCTGAAAGGAGTACACACCTGTATGCACTAGCGTCGTGTTTACTCTCGTACACGTAGCAAACACCGCCTACAATAATGGCGCCAATGGCCCAGAACATCTGCAACATCTGGGTTGCAGGGGCTCTCAGCCTCATGGGCACAATCTCGCTACAGTATGCTGGTGCGTTGGCGATGAAGATGCCCCATGGGATGCCCTCTAGAAGCTGGCTGACAAACATGACGGCGAGTGAGTTGGCGAAATAGAAAACAAAGATAAAGGCGTTCAAGAGCATGAGGCCAAGAATCGTGGCCCAACGATACCCAATACGGCTGGTGATGGGACCGGCGATGCAAACGCCAATGATGGCACCAAGAGGGCCACCCACCTGGAGCGCAGACTGCCACGATGCCTCGATTGATTTGTTGCCGTCTTTGTCTATGATACCAAACGTATCCTTGAACTCGTCCATGGCCACGAAAGAGCCCATTAGGAAGACACAGTAAGACTCCATAATCTAATAGTGGTTGTCAGCTGCAACTCCTCGAAGGGAGTGGGTTGGTGGATGAAGGTCCTGTAGCTTACAATTGTCGTGGACATGATAAAAGCCCAGAGGGAGGCCATGGGATAGAGCTTGACGGCCTCCAGCACTCCCATGTCATACTCTGCCTGCTCCGCCTCGATGGCATCGGCCTTGTATGCCGCGGCCGTCGCCTTCTCGTCGAGGTCGGCAACATGGTCGACGTTGGCGGCATACGCCTCAACCTTTGCGGGGTCGCCGCCGGGCGACTTGGAGTCGATTGGGTTGCTCATGGTGTTGACCTCAAAGATCAGTGGTGTTGGCCGTGTGTATGAGGATGAAGCAAAGGGGAACAGAGAGAAAATGGAGCTGGTAATGGGCGGCCTGTTATTAAAGTCTTGTCTTACTTGGCTAAATGCAGTTCCTCGCTTATCCAGGCTCTTTCGGCCTGTGCAGCCAATACGGACGGGTCAACTGGGATACGAATCCCACAAGTGCAATCTGGACACGGCTCTCCCCCCCAACGAAGCTAACCCCGCCCCCCGCATTGGCCACAACGTCCCACAAAACCCCAGAGTGTCACCCGCCTTCTCCAAGGACCCGGGGTCTAGGGTCGAATATCGGGTCTTGATACAACGAGCCCGGTGGGAAATCCCCCTGTGCCGCGACGCGCTCCAATGGGACGTAGTCAAGAGTTGAAAGCAGCGCACTCGCACACTACTCTGGGTGGTCGGCAACTATAACTTCACTAGAGAGTTGTGCTGATTAACTCAGGGGCCCTGTTGTTCTTAGATGGCTCGCGCGCTTGAACAGTCACAGCTTCTTAGTTCCATGTGACCTGGGACTACTGCCAAATCTACTCTCTCCTGTCAATATTGATGCGGGCGAGTGGTGAACACCGGGAGGGACAGGCGCATGACTATGAATCAGCTGTTTCCCTCGGTAGCTCGGTAAGCACTAGGCCGCACACCGAGGTGTTTCTAGCCGCTGCCATTCCAAAGGGCGACAATCTTGCCGAACTTGGAATTTTAGGTACATGATTAGGCTAAAGCTTAGTAGGAACTCCATTTTGTTTTCTCGTCCGCCGGTTGTAGCGTAGTGCAGCAGTGATTCCCCGAGGGAGTTCCGCCGTCGGATGCTCTCAGTGGATCGCATCGGATTCGTACGCCACTTTGGACAGCAAGACTACAACGGCGTCTTCACGCCACGCGGACGCAGGATCGTTAAGCGCCCGAACACCTTTCGTCGCTCAACGCGTCCCAGACATTAAGGAAGTTCAAGTCGGCGTGGTTGCGCAGGGCAGCTACCCGGAGGCAGGTGAGTTGATTCCGGCTGACTCGTCGGCTGGGACAAAAACAACATTCGAACCAACCAGTTGCCAAAACAGGCGCGGCATCTGAAACCTGCAGTGTTGCGAAGCGGCCAAGAGCGGGGTGAGGCCTGGATCTTGCGTTTGCTGCACTGTCAGAAATGCACCAGCATCACATCAGCATTTGCACACGCGGCGCCGTCTCCTTTGGAAATGGACTAGTGCAAGGCCAACCCGGTGCCGTGGTCTAGGCGATCTCTTGACTCCATGTTGGAGGATCTTGTGCAGGTACTCCCTGCCCCCTACTTCATCTTAATGCTGAAGGTATGGTTCCATCACGTCGTAGTACCGCCTTTGTCGGGAGACCGAATGGCTCATCGTGGTCGATGTGTTAGTGAGAGTAATTTGCTCGTCTGGGGTTGGTGAGCGGCTGGGCGGCAGTAGCGGTTTCTCATTAATGTGCGACATTCTTGGTGTCGCATGCAACAACCTGGTTGTCGCTACTGGTACCCCAGTTGTTGCAGCCGATGATCATTTTTGCATTGGTCGTTTATCCATGTCTTCAAGTGACCTTCTAGAGTTCTTCTGTTTCTGATAGTTGTCTGCATGGCCCCGCGGTTTCTCATCCATACAAGTGCCCAGCCGTCTGTTTCCTGAACGGCGAATGGAGTAAGTGTGGCGGCTCCCAACACCCTCCCTCTGTAAGTCCAACCCTCAAACGACAAGACACGCGACGTATTTCAATCATTAGATGATCGAACTTTGATTTTATAATTTGATTCTCGACTGGAAGCGAGCATCTGATTGCACCAAAAATCTCACGCAGCCGAAGCCACGGAAAGAACGGTGTCCCGACAATCGCCATATCAACAGTTCTAGCTTCGATATAGTACCACTCTGGACAACCCCAACAAATCACTGTAGCCTCTACAAGGCAAGCGATAAGTCTGTCTTCTCCAAAAATTCACCAATCACCTGTTGCTATGGGTATCGACTCCCATTGTTGGGTGAAGAATGCTTCCAAATAAGCTTGGACATCTGATAATTTGATTACTGCGGCAAAAATCGGCACTTTGTAACCATCATCGTACCAGCAACCTCAACCCATTTCGTGCTTCTGAATGCAGTTTTGAACGTATTTCCAACACCTGAGTCTCCTGTAACAAGAAACCTCCCGCACTGGGGAGTCAGATGACTACCAAGCTAGTTGCCGCGCGTTTATATTTGTTGCGATCCGTCATGCAATCTTCTTCTCCTGTGCTGCACATATGCCCCTACCACGTTTAGCGCTCTACTGCGTCATTGATAGAGCTTTCGGGCAGGCCAGCGATTGGGATCGGGCATGAAATATCATCGTGTCCACCAAAGACGCGTTATTTTTTCGTGTGTGGCGAAGAAGCTCACAATTTTTCTGCGAGGATGACTGACGTGCCCAATTGGTTTGATGAATTGATGAATGGATGGAAAGACCGAATTAAGAAACCGGGTGCTTCTGGGCCCTTCGCGACAAGTCTTGGGCACTGAGATAGCCAACACTCGATAAAGAAGCAAGGTGAAGGGAAAGCCGTAGATGTTGGTATATTCAGTTTTACATCTATAACTCTATCCTGCTGAGGTATCCGTTCAAGTGAGCCTTTAATTGCTGCCATTTATTACTCCGTTTCCATTCACCGTCCTCTGGCCTAACAGCTCGTCAAGCATCAGTTGGCAACAGCCGAGGTATCTTGTGGGATCGCAAAGCTTGAAGAGCTCCGCTGATGCGAGGTGGGCTGTCACATGCGGTGACTTTTCCAGAGCTTCTTGCAAAGAGATGTTGTTCTCATGCGCCTCAACGCACGCCTTGTACACAATTTCGTGTGCTTCTTGGCGACCAGTGTACTTTGCCAAATCCATCATGACGGCTTCAGCAACAATCAGGCCCTTGGTCGACTTTAAGTTCGCCATCATGGCATCCTTGTTCACCTGCAGGCCAGACAGGGCAAACTCTGCTTGGTGGAGGGAACCAACAATCGAGATAAACGCCGTTGGAATTGCGGCCCACTCGAGATGCCATGGTCCGGAGGCTCTCTCAAAGTCTGATACCATGCCATCAAGGACAAGGCCGGCCTGCGCGCGGAGAATCTTTGATTGTGCAAGAATTGCCTCGCTTGAGATTGGGTTTCGCTTTTGGGGCATTGTCGAGGAGGCACCGCGGTGGGGGACGTAGGGCTCAGCAACCTGGGAAAAGAACAAAGTCAGTTTTCAATGTTAGTACAGATAACAGATGTTTACTGACCTCGTTCAGCTCGTTGGATGACATAATGATCAGATCCAAAGCAATCTTTCCCAAGCTACCTCCAACTAGAGCAAGATAGTTGATTATTTCAGCAACCGTATCGCGCGCCACATGCCAAGTGATAACGGGATCTTGAAGGCCAAGAATGGTCGCAAGGCGCTTGCGCACGCGAATACCACTATCAGAAGTGCCCAAAGACGCCAGGGTTCCAGCCGCACCGCCGAATTGAACAAGCAAGCAGCTTTCTTTAATTTGCTCGAGGCGTTTCACGTGTCTACGGAAGCCAGCTAGCCAGACAGCGCACTTGTATCCGAAGGTGATGGGGAGCGCGTGTTGCAAATGAGTTCTGCCCGCCATTGGCACGTCCCTGTAGGCGGCAGACATGTTTTCAAGTGTGGAAGTGACCTTGCGGAGGAGACGCTCAACAATTTCGAGGCCAGTCTTCATCTGGAGTACTGATGCAAGGTCCATGATGTCCTGGGTGGTAGCACCCCAATGGATGTAACCAGCTTCAAGCTTTGCTATCAGCATTTCTGATGAGCAGGAGCCGTGGGACTAAAGCCAACTTACATGTCTCTTCTGGAACCCATTTTGACATCTGCTCAACTAGAGGTAGGACTGGGTATCCAACAATTTCTGTGCGCGCGGCCAACAGCTGCCAATCGATCTTGGAGACGTCACAGTGTTCTCTCAATACGGCAGCGGTGCCGACAGGCACAATGCCTTCGGCCTCCTCCGCCTCGGCAAGAGCACATTCCGCCTTGATCAAGTTGGCGACGTACGACCGCTCAGAGAAGGCTTGACGAGCTTCCTCTGTGCCGAAGATGTTGCCAAAGAGCGTAGAATCGAAGACAGTGGCGGCAGACATTGCGAGTCAGATTGGAGCCGTAACAAACAAAGCCGAAAGTCGTAAATTCGCCTTATGTGGTATTTCTGGCGAGAATGCTGTTCAGAATGTGGCGGTCGTTTCTAGTAAATCCGTTCAATGCGTCGACGCGTTCCCCTTAGTCGGTTTTATTTCTTGACGTAGCTGGAGGTCCTGCCGGTCATCGTCCGGCCTTACACCGAGATCCCCCGCCGCGGGGCACGGGATAGCGCAGTAACGGGGCATCGGCAAGCGGAATAAGGGCAGTATTGGTGCATGCGGCGCGGCATAGCGGCGTAACGGCTTAACGGCATAGCACGGGCCAAGTAACGGTTCGCCGGGTCTTGGCCCCTAGTTCCTGGTATTCTCTACCCCGGACCGCGTGTTAAACATGGTCTCGTAGGATTAGCTATTGCGGGGAACGTGGATTTTCTGGGGATGTGTCGAACCATCTCTGCAATGCCGGGGTTGGCTGGTTGACAGATAATCATTGCGTATAAATCAGATGGCTTCGCTGTTCTGTTGTTCTTCACCTCCTCGAAACGACTTGCTTCTAGCACTAGAATCTCTCTCAAAAACATTTTTGTCTTCTTTAATCACCTTTGAGCCAACATGTCAACAGATGCAGGACCCGGCTCTAAGCAAGGAGTAATGCTTGACGTCGAGCATAGTGAAAAGTTGGCCCAGGAGGAGACTGTCGTTACAGGTGACTACTCCGGTGCAGAAGAGAAAACCGACCCAGTCGAAATCGCCCTAGTCCGCAAGCTCGATCGTAGAATCATGGTAATTTTCTCCAAAAGCTAACAGTTTTTTTACCAAGACTTTCGTCCTAATGCTAAATGTGTCTTGGTGTCTGTAGCCGATCCTTTGGGCGATGTACTTCCTCAATTATGTACGGTTTATCTCAATCTCAAACACCCTACCCAGCCTCTCTTAACATTGGAAATAGCTCGACCGAAATGCTTTACCACAAGCTCGACTTAACACTCTGGAAGAAGACCTAGGGCTCAAAGGTGTTGAATACAACACAGCTATTTCGATCCTTTTCGTTGGCTACCTCCTGATGCAAGGTTAAACTCCACTGCAAGAGCCCGTGCAAGACTCAGCTGATAATCCCAAGTTCCCTCAAATATGTTTTTGACTCGTACAAGGCCCTCAATCTATATGTCAGTCTGCATGATTGGCTGGGCTGCCATCTCTGCAGCTACTGCGGGAGTCAAGAGCTATGGAGGATTAGTCGCTTGTCGTTTTTTCCTCGGCTTCGTTGAAGCGGTGGGTTGCTACTTTGGATCAGTGAGTATGGTGTACTAACTCAAGCGCAGCCTTTCTACCCTGGTGCTCTCTACCTGCTTTCAATCTTTTACACCCGGAAGGAGCTTGCAACCCGTATATCTCTCCTCTACACCGGCCAAGTCGTGAGCACCGGGTGCTCCGGCTTGATTGCTGCTGCCACATTCGCTACTTTGGACAAAGTCAAGGGAATTGCCGGCTGGCAATGGTACAGTCTTGCCAAAACATCTGATACACGACAACTTCATCCTAACATCAGCTTAGGCTTTTCATTATTGAAGGCTCGGCCACTGCTTTGGTCGCCATCTTCGGCTTCTTCCTCCTTCCCGACGACCCTTCTGTTACCCGCTGGCTCACCGAAGATGAGCGAAAGCTTGCAGTTGATCGCATTCGCCGAGACACGGTCGGTCAGCAGGAGCGCGGATCTACCTTGGATGGCCTGAAGCAGGCCTGCAAGGATCCCAAGACTTGGCTGTTTTGCCTCATGCAGAACCTCCATATCTCAGCTTGCTCTTTCAACAACTTCTTCCCAACGATCGTCCGTACCATGTCAGTTGGACTGATATGCGATCCCGATTTGACTCGTAACCAATGAGGCTGATATTTCTTCTAGGGGATTTCGATCTACTACGGCACTCCTGCTTACTGCTCCTCCTTACTTTGTTTCTGGTTTCCTGGGAATTCCGTTTGCCTGGTCCAGCGGAAAGCTTAACGAGAGAACATGGCACATCACTGCCGGCTTATCTGTCGCCATTGTGGGCTTTGCTATGACTTGTGGTAGTACCAACAATGCCGTCAGATATACAGCGACGTTCTTATACGCCACGGGGGCATACAGTGTAGGAAGTGTCATTCGTGAGTTACGCTGTGTCTGTTCATGGAGATAAGCCAGCTGATAAATATACTAGTGGGCTGGGTCAGTAACACCTTGTCACAAACTCCCGAGAAGAAAGCTGTCGCATATTCTCTCGTCAATGTTACGGCCAACCTGGCATACATATACTGCGCTTATCTCTGGCCAAGCACCGATGGGCCAAAGTATATGATGGGTTTCTCAAGCATGATCGCGTTTGCTGCCACCAGTATCATGTGCGCATGGGTAATGAGGTTCTGGCTGATCAGAACCAATAAGAAGATTCGGGACAGCGAGGATGAGGCCGTCAAGCTGTACGCCTACTGATTTCTGGGCATAAACGGCGTTCTACTTTCTGAACAGGACCATCGAGATTGTCATGGGGTGGGTGTTATTAGCAAACACATAGAAGACCAACTAAGGACGTACGCGAATGGGCTCTAGTTTTGGTTCAGGTAAGTAACGCTGTCAGATAGCAATGCTTTAGATTTAAGTTGCAAGGTCAGGATGGGCGAATGTATGGAAGTTCCTAGCTGGAGATATAACACCACTGGGTCGCAATTGCATTGGTTTGGCTGTTGTTAACAAGAATCTCAGTGGCATGTTACGTGTAAATCTTTATACGCCAATGTCATGTTTTCTGGCCTGATACCCACGGATCCAGCCATACGATATAACTATGTGCTGATTAGTCGATTGCCGGACGACAAGAGAAGCGAGGTTTCTCGAGCAGGGATGACTAGACACCTGGTTGCCTGGGAGGGCAAAGTATATAAACCCACTTTAATTGCACTTGTGCCGTGAGTTGTGAACAGCATCATTGCAGACTACGAAACATTTCAGTGAATACTCCAGCTTCGTAAATATATATATATAAGCACTGCTGGCCGATGCCGAAACAAAAGTGAAGGTCTCTATCGTGTCTACTGGTAGCCGGAAGGTTTTGAGCTAAAACTAGAAATGAGTGCCAAGAGATTGCCGTGGCCAAATGATGATTCAAACCGACACTAAGTCTTCTGACAATCTCCGGTTCCCCTTCGTCGCTTCGGTTATCACAGCGCACTAGTCAACAACGTACTGCTTTTGTTCTCTCCCTCCTGGTGCGCTGTTTTAGTGCATGTTGCAGATCATCTCTCTGCCTTACCACAGGCGCAGGGCGGAGTAATGCGCAGTCATATGAAGCTCATATGAAGCTACCAGCCTTGCATGCATACGTGGCCGGAAATTAAAGGCTCTGACCTACTGCTCCACTGCACTGCCTGTCTTGGAGTCTCAAAGAGCCGCCCCTGAGCCCATGCCAATACTGGACACTAACCCCCAACCGACTTTTGGAGTATCCCACAGATAAAGCACACTTTCCCTCTTTCACTTTCCCTACCCAGTATCTGTCAGTTTTGTACATCGATATAACCTATAACGTCCTTGAAGCTCTTTGCGAAGCAGATGGTTGCCTTCATAACTTAAGATCTTTTCATTACATCGGCTGAACATCTTTGCTCTAGGTCACCCTTACTTCAGAATGGGTCATCGTAATTATGATATCGCTTGGATTCTGTGCTCCCCTGATCATCACGCGGTCGCCAAGTCTTTCTTTGATGAGACCTATGATCATTATTCCTCTGCACTTTCAAATGCCACCTACAGCACCGGTAGGGTTGGGCAACACAACGTTATTGCGGTGACCAAGGGTCTTGCGACCGCACTACAAAGCACTAGAGACGTCATGACGACTTATTGCAGGAGTTTCCTTCTATCCGAGCAGGCTTCCTAGTGAGCCCTAAGGCTATTGCTTCTTTAGCAGGACGTGCTCGAGTAGGGGACGTTGTTATTGGTACTACACCAAGCCTACAAAGCGGCATTGTATTTTTTGATGCTGGTGAAACGACAAAGCAGAAGCATCTCTTTGTAGACAGTCAACCGAAGCGCATCCCTGAAGCTGTTGCAATGGCTGTCGAAGCCCTCCTTAGCCAGGAACGGCGCGATGATTGGCTACGATCTCTTGACCAAGGCCATCCTGAATATCAGCGGACAGCTTTTCGTGGTGCGATTGGGTCTTCGACGCGGCCTCTTCACGATCTGACTCTCGTTGATCGTATCCGAGCCGAGAACAACGTTATGTGTTTCGAAACTACTGCTGCAAACATTAAGTGTCACTCACTTGTGCTTGTGAGTGGTATTGCCGGCTATATCGACAATCAACAGCCTCATATACCTTCCGCCGAGATCTGCAGGGTTGTACTTTCGTATCTTACTTGCCTGATCCGTCTAATCGATCCTGTCAAGCTTGGCTTTGAACCCACAATGGCGAACTACTTCGAATACGAAACCTTCGACCTAGAACAACCGAGGTTTCGACTACTGAGGCTTAAAGCTGGTTCTGGTCCACTCCATTGTCACCTTTTCCAATCGTACTTGGACGATAGAGAAATCACTGTTCCGTACGAAGCATTGTCGTACTTCTGGGGTAACAGCTCAACATTGCGACATACAGTGATAGTGAACAAGAAAGTCTTCTTTGTTACAGCAAATCTGTTTCATGCTCTTGAAGAGTTACGATACAAAGACAGAGACCGTATACTCTGGGTTGATGCTCTCTGCATTAACCAGAGCAATATCCAAGAACGTGGGCATCAGGTTAGATGGATGAGTAAGATATACAAGGACGCAGAACAAGTGCTTTCCTGGCTGGGGCATGTCAGCTACAGCATTGGTAGTCTGATATTGTTGCTCAACAGGTTCAAAGAAGAAGTTCCGCTTGAAGCATGGAACAAATGGTCTGTGAGCAATACCAAATGGTCGGATACCTGGTTGCTAATGCAACACCATCGCCTTGATGGACGCGACGTCAAATGGTCCGACCAAAAACTGATTCTGGAGTCGCTTATGAAAAACGAGTGGTCCAGTCGTGTCTGGGTTCTACAGGAAGTTGCCAACGCCAAACATGCTTCTCTCGGCTGTAGCGAAGGGTGGATTGACGCAAAAGTCTTCGCAATGGCACCGACACTTCTTGGTGTCAAACCAAACACCCAATGCCAAGCGATCATTGATATCATGCCTGGCCCATCAAGGAAATCTTCGTGTTGGGCACAAAAGCCTGATATATGTGCCCTCTTGTGGCGGTTCAGAGAGAGTAAAGCCAGTGATCCTCGAGACAGGCTATACGCGCTCCTAGGCCTTGCTTCCGATATGGGAACTGGGGAGGGGAGCATCAGAGCGGATCACACAAAACCCTAAGGAGCTGTCGTTAGCGAGATTACAGCATATCTCTTTGACAACACAACCTATCCCAGAATCGTCAAGCCCGCCAAAATCGCCAGTCTACAAGTCGAAATCCCGAATTATTCCGCTTCCATTTCAGACCGTATAGTCTTCTCTGAGGCATGCGATGAGGATGTGATTGAATTCATAAAAAAGCAGAAGCGAACAATTTGGATGTCGGAAGTCGCGGCTGCCTATACTTGGTGCAAAAGACCAAACCTTCTTGATTATTCAAGAAAGGGTATCGTACCTGCGTCTGTCCAGGTCACATTGAAACAAGTTTCCGATGGTACCATATCAGAAAATACTATACTGTTAGCTACATTCTTCGATAGCCAACAAGGCAAGCTCAAACTTACCAGCGACACTACAACGGCTTTAAGTCTACATAAAATAGACGCAGTTGCTTTGGCCTTACACATTGACGGTAAGGACATCGCGATAACAGAAGCACTAGCTGAAAGAGCAGTTTTGGACTCCGAATCACTTCAGCTCTTACTAGAAAGACGCGGCGATGAGGTGAAGATCACAGAATCGCTCATCAAAGCTGCTAAATCTCCAATCACCCACAAAACATTTAAGCTTTTGCTCGATAGACTTTCTAGCAGCAGCGGTGGCGGCTACGTGAAAACCACAAGATCACTAGCTGAAGCTGCGGCCCAGAGTGGACACGACACACTTCAGCTTTTGCTTCATAGGCGTGGTAACGAAGTTAAGGTTACTAAATCATTGACTGAAGTTGCCGCTCGTAGCGGTCGTCGGACACTTCGACTCTTGATTGGCAAGTGCGGGATCAAATTTGATAGCACCAAAGGTATTATTGAAACTCCACATCGACGAGGCATAGACATGGTTCAACTAGTCTTGCACCAAGATCGAAACGACATTAGAATAACAGCAGCACTTGCTGAGGAAGTAGCCCGGAGAGGACCTGAAGCACTCCGACTTCTACTTGATCGACGTGGTGATGAAATCTAGATGACTGGGTCGTTTCTCGAGATAGCAGCTCAGAATAACGCACTTCAGCTCGTACTCGATAGATGCGGCGACAAACTCGAAATGAATGAATCGCTCGTCAGAGCAGCAGCTCAGAATGGCCCTGAAACACTTCGCGTCTTACTCGACAGACGCGGCGATGAAGTCCAGATTACTGAGTCCATTGCTGAAACCGCCGCTCGCAGTGGACACGGCACACTTCAGCTCTTGCTTGACAGACGTGGTAGTGAGATCAAGATCACCGAGTCCCTTGTCAACACAGCAATATTAAACGGAAATGATACATTCCAGCTATTGCTTGATAGACGCATTAACGAAATTAAGATTACCGACTCAATCGTCAGACTAGTAGCTCAAAGTGGACATGAAAGACTTCAGTTCTTGCTTGACAGACGCGGTAATGAAGTTGAAATTACTGAGTCCCTTACAGACATAGCGGCCTGGAAAGGATATGACACACTTCAGCTTCTACTTGATAGACGAGGTGATGAAATCAAGATAACCGAATCACTCGTCAGGGTAGCAACCCAGAACGGACCTGACACACTTCAGCTTTTGCTCGATCGACGCGGTGATGAAATCGAGATAACCGAATCGCTTGCCATATTAGCACACAATGGACCTAAAACACTTCAGGTCTTACTCGACAGGCGTAGTGATGAAGTTAAAATCACAAAATCGCTCATTTACGCAGCAGGTCGAAACGGAGCTGCCACACTCCGGCTCTTGCTTGAAAGACGCAGTGGGGAATTCGAACTCACCGAATCCCTGGTTGACAAAATAGCTCGCGAGGGACCAGAAACATTCCGACTTTTGCTTGATAAACGTGGCAATGACATCAGGATTACAGAGTCACTTACTAGAACAGTGGTTCAGAAAGGACATGATACACTTCAGCTCTTACTTGACAGACGCGGCAACGAAGCCAAGCTTACGAAGACGCTGGCTAAGCTGGCTTCCCAGCAAGAATCCAAAACACTTGAGGAGGAATTATAAAAGCGGCATACGGAACGCACCAGAATTAGCTAGCTAGGTCCTGAAAACATATTATATGATCGATATGAGCTAGTCTGTACGTCGCGATGTGCCTTGCTAGCACTTTGGCTTGCTTAGCTTGACTACTTTTCATGGCAACCACCCTGCCTTGCTGGCGGAGAATCGCCCGTCAGGAGGCCAGACCTTATAATAGATCATCCTGTGTAGAAGAGGTTCCATCAGAATTACCAACACACAAGCACTCCGTTGTAGGGCGCAACAGGGGAGTATGACGATGGCACATGGTGCTTTCCATCTTCACGTATCGTAAGTTAATCATTATACTTACAATCAGAACGAAGAGTAATCACCACTGCACAAGTCTTTACCCGATCCAGTAACGCGAAGTACCTCAACTTCCTCCGCGGCAGACTTCGAAATTAGCCAAGGATTGCCTGTCAGGAATGTAGCTTTTTTGACACTAACAAAACCTTTGACCATTCGGACTGCTAGATTTAATTAAACACGACTCGGCCGAGAGGGTCCGTTAAGCTTAACCCTCTTAAAACCCCTGACAAGCATATGACGAGTTATATGCCTAAATTGGGGACAGAACGCGGTGTCAAAATTCAGGGCTCGTCGTACTATTCCACCCATTGGCATCGTTGTTCTTCAGCCCTCGTTCAGACCGGGCTCCTTCATTTGGCCGGGCCCCTGTCATCGATCTTTAAACATACGCGAAGCGGGGTTGGTGACCCCGGTTAGTGTAGCATCTTGAGAGCCTTGGCCGAGACGGTCCCGCTCAACACTCCCCTTTCTGAGGTATTCCAGGTGGTCACTGCCGAAATAGGAAATGCGCGCCGGGCCTGAGAGCTCAAAATTGGCCAATGGGTGACATTACCGGTGGGCGGGACGATTTATTCCCATCATACGGAAGAATCCGAGATTCAGGACCGCTGCGTTGGTGAAGGTAGCAAAAGAGCTGTCTGGTGGAAACAGACTCCAGTAGAACGCCGCCGACGGATCCGAAATGCCGCCCTAGCTCAACAGCGGCCCTTGGCGAAGGGAAACAATGTGCTGGAGTAGGAGCAACGCGCGGGGGGCTTCGAGATGTTACTGCACAAAAGAAGAACAAAGCAGAATAAAGGTTGCCGGACGAGGCCTCCTCATGTTGCCCCACCATCATGGGGTCGTGGCATGGCTATTGATTAGTTTAGACTTATTTTAAAATTGTTCCCTCTCAAGGATATAATCCTAGAAGTCCCGTCCGGTTTCCCGTCCAGTTTCCCTTCAGCCTCCATAGCTCCTTTTACTACAGTTCTTTATTCAACTACAGTCATTCTTTTCTTGGTCTAACACAATGAAGGCCTCGCTTTTCTCCCTCGTTGCCGCTCTGGCGAGCACGGCCACTGCCCAGGTCCAGGGCAAGGCCTTCGGTTTCGCTGCCGGAACCACTGGTGGTGGTTCAGCCGCGCCTCAGTACCCTTCCAGCATCGCTCAGTGAGTGCCAAAAGCTCCATATAAACAATAGACTGGCCGGAAAACTGACTTCACGCAGACTCAAGGAGTGGCTCACTGACAGCACGCCCCGAACGATCATGATCGATCGCACATGGGACTTCCGCAACACCGAGGGCACGACCAAGGGCAAGTGTTGCAGCGATAACCGCACGACCAAGTGCCCCGGCGGCACGTCCAAGGGTCAGGCTTGGATCCAGGACACCTGCGATGCCGCCAGCGGAACCTGGATCGACTGCACGTATGACAACGCAGCAAAGACCCCCATCGACATCAACAGCAACAAGAGCATCGTCGGTGTCGGTTCCAAGGGTGTCATCATTGGCAAGGGTCTCCGAGTCCGCGGCGGCAAGAGCAACGTCATCATCCAGAATGTGCACATTACGAATCTGAACCCCCAGTACGTCTGGGGTGGTGATGCCATCACCCTCGACGGCTCTGACAAGGTCTGGATCGACCACTGCAAGATCTCCCTCATCGGCCGCCAGTTCATTGTCTCTGGCTGGGGTGCCGCCGGCAAGGTGACAATCTCCAACACCGAGTTCGACGGCAGATCCGAGTGGTCGGCCGGCTGCAACGGCAAGCACTACTGGACCCTCCTCCTCATCGGCGCCAAGGACCACTACACCTTCTCCGGCAACTGGCTGCACGACGTCTCGGGCCGCTCGCCCCATATGGGCACCAAGAACACGGCCGGCAGCGAGAACCTCTTCCACGGCGTCAACAACTACTTCCAGAATGTCGGGGGGCACGCCTTCGACATTGACGGCAACACCTGGGTCCTGCTCGAGGGCAACTACTTTGACTCCGTCACCACCCCCGTCACTCCCGCCACCTTGACCAACGGCGGCAACATTTACATTGTCAACACCGTCGACGAGGCCTCGCGCTGCACTTCGTCTCTGGGATACATCTGCGAGTGGAACCGCGCCCGCGACTCGGGCGTGGTCAGCAGCCTCACCAGCGCCGCTGCTTTGTCCAAGCTGGGCGGCTTCAAGTCCTCGCTCATCGGCCACATTGGCGTTGCCGATGTCCCCGCCAAGGTGAAGGCCAACGCTGGTGTTGGCAAGACCACGAGCACCAACGCTTGAGTGCTTCCGCCTGGGACAGGGCGACCACGACTACACCACTGACAGAGTTGGGGGTTTCCGTAGCGTTGATCACTCAGGCTGATGTCTAGGCAGTTTCCACACTTCTTCTGTATTTTTTTATACGTACATATGCTCCGGCGACCGCCGTAATGAAGCTTCACTTCTCCGTCAATGAAGGAGGTACTTGCTTTAAACTGCTCATAACCCAGTGGAGAAACGGGAGATCCAACACACTAAATGCAATGTAAATGAGCCTACGCAGCATATGCAGCCCTCGGCTCGGGTATCCAAAGTTCCCGCCCATATTCATCCCTCGCTCTTGCCCGTATGTCCTACCATGACTCCTCGCATTCAACCCAAAGGGAACCCCCAACGCCAAAAGCTGCTACACGTCGACACGACAAAACGTAAAAAGGAGCGCGACAAAATTGTGTGCATACCGGCCTGTCCCACCATCACACGTAGTATCGATTCATTCGCTCACGACTCTCTTCGCTCCCATTCTTGATGTATCGTCGGAGACGGCGCAGCCTTTGCCTGCCCCGACAACCAAGCATGGCAAGCCTCGTAGTGAGAGTATTGGATGCTTTGCTTGGACGACGATACCATTAGGTCGGCGACCTCAAGTATGCTCCTGCCCTCCACGTCGCGCGCCTGGGCATTCGCTCCGTGTTGCACCAGCGTGCGCATGGCGAGCTTCCTCCCCCTCCGAACAGCGATGTGCAGCGCGGTCTCGCCGTTTCTGTTGCGGGCGTTGACGTCGGCACCGGCCTCGATGAGGAGCTCCAGGATCTGGACGGGCTTCTTGTAGTCGTCGTCTTCGGGGAGCTGTGCGACAAAGGCCATGAGCACCGTGTTGCCGTACTTGTCGTAGTGGTTCGGGTCTACGCCGAGTTCGATGAGGTCCCTGACGATTCTCTCCCGGACCGTGAGCCGGTCCTTGGACGAGTCGGATAGCGATTTGCCAAGGACGGGTTTGTTGTGCTTGCGCTTGCGACTGGAAGCCGTCGGCTGTTGTTCCTCGGCGCCGGCCGTAGTGAAATGCTGCGGAAACCTTTTGGCCAGGGAGTCCTGGCTGAGGATAGCGTCGGCCAGACAGTGCAAGCCGTTTCGGCCTTGGGTGTCTTGGACTCTGGTGTTTCTGTGTGCTTCGTTGACCAGCCTCAGGAGCTCGGCTTGTTGTTCAATTGGCGATGAGACCTGACGCAAGGTATGAGAGTCCCAAGCCGGTGTCATCTCCTGGCCGACAGCGGCGGTGTAAGCCCGGCGGACAGGCAGTCCAATTGGTGCAGACTCGGGGATGTTGCCAAAGGCGTCGCGGCGGCAGTACTCCATGGCGTCGAACTGTTTGAGAAGAGTGTTCTTGGTGTCCTGGTCCAGGATGCTCGGCCCCTTGGAGTGTAGAATGTGGCAGAAGTTGCGGCCATAGACATCGCGCGCATACAAAAAGTCGGAGCGCTGTAGGAATTTGATGAGTTGGAAGAGAGACTCGGCCTTGTGCGAGAACCAGGTATCGTTGAGAACGTGCAGGAAGGTCTGGCCAGCGCTGTTTGTCGCCGACGGGTTTGACGATAAATCAATGGCTCTGAAGAGGAGATCATGGTTGGCGTCGCCGGCCGCGAGGAGGTGAAGGATAGTGTTGCCAAAGGCATCGCGGGTATCCAATCTCCCGTCCGGAGGCGCTCCATAATGGAGGACGTACTGGGCGTACGGCGATGGGCCGGTCTCGGTCACCCAAGATTCGTCCGTGAGCTCGTTCTTGACGTGGCAGAAGCAGGATCGCGAGTCGTGTTCGGGTAACCCATCGTCGCAAAAGCCCCGGCTGGTTATATGGTGGTGCAAGTTTAGGAAGTCTCCGGGAAGCGGTCTAACTCCAACCTCCGAGTTCCCTTGCGGCGCGTTATACTCGAAAATCCACGATGCCGGGTTAGAGTCGGCGGTGCCCGGGCGGTCTTCGTCCATGGGTGACTGATTCGACATTGTGTTGCTCGGCATTGTGTACCGCTTCAACAACTTGTCGACTTGACGAATGAAGCCAGTCGAATACTCTGACAGAACCTCCTGCAGGGTCATTGTCGTGGTTTGGCGACGAATCCCGATCTCGGCCGGCGGCACGGACGCAAAGTCGGTGGTTACCAGAGTCGGAAGCGGCCCGGCCGCAGGTGGGCCCCAACCGGCGGACGAGGAGCGGGAGTGTTCAAAGGGTTGAATGTCATGCACGGTTGGGCTGTTTCCACTTTCGTGTTTGAAGTCGGGATTTACGCTCAAGCGCGACCTAGAGTCGGACGACATGGACCTAGGGTAGCGAGGCGGGAATGCGTTCTCCGGCGTGGTCTGGCGCGTGGGAGAGCTGTCGAGGGCGCTTATACGGCGTTCCATATCGGTTCGTGTTCGGGGATGAAGCCATCTCGGCTCTTTGTCGAGAATCGAGTTAAGCTTCTTGTTGGCTGAATCCTTTCTGCTCGTGTCTGTCAGCAATCGCAGTTGCGCCGGCGCAAGCAGGAATCTCAGCGTACCCTGGGCAGTCCTTGTTCCCCAGAGTTGATTTGTGGACGACTTCGACTATCTTCGTGAGAGGCAACGTTGTGTAGACGTAGAGCCTGGCCAGCTTGCGCTCAAAAGATTCATTCCATAGCGAAGGGCGGCCGGTCTGGGTGGCGTGCGAACTAGAAGGTGAAGCAGACATTGCGCTCAAAGTGATGGCTGGCCGCCACAGCCTTGTCACGTTTGGTGATGTGGACCGTGTAAGTGGGCGTAAGGAGCGCAGCAAACTATATAAATGGAAAGAAGTGTTGCTGACCAAGCGCTGGGCAGAAGACTGAAGCAGAAGGTTCAAGATGGGAGGAGAGACATGATGGGCAATAAAGAGGGTTGAAGCTGACTTTGGTCATCAGAAGTGAGGGGGACGACCAGGCTATCAATGGGCTGAACGATGGTGCATACCACCGCGAGAGACGAGGGATGGACTATTCATTGCTAGCGAGACACAGGATCCGGCACGGAGCAGGGGTCAACGGAGCGGCTAAGGCCAAAGGAGCGTTGGAACCTGATAATACTGGCCCCCTCCGGCGGCGGCCAGGGTTGGAAACCATGTAGCACAGCAATAACTTGCAGCCTGGAGGAACAGGTCTTGAAGGTGGCCTGGCGGAGCCAATGGGCGTGAAATGGAAGAATGAGAGTGGTGCACCAGTAGGCTGGGGCTGCAGGGTGCGGAGGCTCAGCTGTGCGCCTAGGCGCCAGCCTGGTGTGTGTGTGTGTGTGTGTGTGTGTGTGTGTGTGTTGGCTAGGAGGGTTTGTCTCCATGGCTGGTTCTCAAAGCACAACGGCAGATGGAATGAAGGTGTATTTCGTGCGAAGCCGATGGCAGGCCTGGACAAGAGATGGCGGTGATTGAGGATGTCCGCGATACAGCTCGAGCAGCTTGCTTGAGGACTAGTACGGGAAGAACAGCCGTATGCTTGATCTAGGCACCGGGATCATGTTGTCTGAGGTTATTCAGCTGACGGGGCTTTGGAGTAATCCCGGCAAGCGCCTACAACTAGGGTGGAAGCTAGAAGCTAGAAGCGCTTCCCCCCGTCGTTATCGGCGTCGACCTTTGCGATGGGCGTTCAGAGCAGTCGTCGGTCGGAAATTCCGTGATTGACTGGGCCGATGGGAATGACTTCATCCCCTTCTGGAGGACCGCAAGATGACAAACGGAACGTAGAAAGAGGGCTCCGCCAACAACTAGCCGCAGCATATTCTTTCTGGCCGCTGCTGTCATACAGCAAGAAAATGTGAGTGAGTGACTGGGGGGTTTAGAAACGGCCCTGTCAGGCAGAGTCGAGAGAGGAGACTTCAAGTGTGGCGGAGCTCGAGGCGACCGCGGGAGCCGCCCTTGTGCACCCCGTCCAAACGCTACGGGAGAATGACGTGCTGAGGGATGCGTGCGATGATTACCTAGTCCCCCCAAGCTCTCATCCCGGTAATCCCAGTAAAGTGGCTTGGTTCGGTTCAGGGTGGGAGGTGGTTCTGTGTGAGGAATGAGTGGACAACCACACTGCCATTTGAAGAAATAGGTACCAAACCACTGTATAACGAAGATCCAAAGATTGAGATCGATGCTCAGTCCAACTTCTCTCCCTAAGTTGTATGTTGGAGCTGCCGAGTCTCTTTCGTACTCGAGTCCGTGTTCTTCCACTTCGGCTCCAAGCCATCATTAAACAGGAACCCAGTAGCCCAAATCAGTCCGACAGCATCTGCTTTTCATCGAGTAGCCATGACGAACCTGGCGACCCCCCCTGCCTCAGCCCCGAAGCTTGAATGAGCTCTGAGTTGGCATGTCTTGAGAAACCCTTTCTTTTTTGTTCCCTTCTCCAACTACCAACCAAGTCGTCGGAACGACTGGACCTTGCAGCGCCCCTCTGGTCATACAATGCTTTGGTTTCCTCCGCAGTGCTCCGCCCACCGCAACAGCAACAGCCACAGACATGCCGGCTTGGGTGTGCATAAGAGCGAATGCTGGGCTGTCACTGATCACTGGCATTTGCAGCAAAGCTACAGGCGGCGGCGGCCTCGATGACATGCCTATTGATCCATCCCCAAATCTGCCTGGTAAGCTTAGCCACAATTGGGTTTTCGACGTCCTCCGTAAACAGCCGTCGCTGCTTCGGATGCCTCTTCTCTTGACTCCTCGGTCCCTGTCATCCGCGACCAGAGCGCTCCATCCCTCAGTGAGGCTCACTTCAGACAAGTCGCTCTCGCTGGCAGGCCGATGTAGAAGAACCAACTCGATGGATTCTTTCAGCTAATTCCATGCCCAGCCCCTAGTGACGGGAGGAAGAAAGTCTGATCGTTCGCCCTGCAAAACATACATTGACCCAGCCAAGAAACATGGTCAACGACAGCCATGATGCCATCCACTCAAAACCCTAGCTCTGACCGAGTGGTTCATGACTATCCTATCCCATTCCTCAACTGGCCCTCCTGGATCCCTGAAGTTGATGAACATGAGATCAGAGCGCCCGCGCCCCGCCCCGTCACTTCATCGTCCCCAACCCCGCGATGGTCTCGTGTTCTAGCCCGGTTCTCCCGCCCGCCCATCACCGGCCGCTAATTTCACTTCCATCACGAATCTTTCAATTCCACTCTTCCGCGCCACACTCCCCACTAGCCCGCCCGCGGGCGCTCCTCCACGGGCGGGTGTCTGAGTTTCATTTCATGAGAGAGGGTCGCTCAAGCCTCTCGGAAGCTATCCTAGATCCACGCGAGTGGCAAACCACTTGGCGATACCATGGAAAACCTACGCGGGAACTCTCCCCAAGCTCTCCACGCGCGCCCGTTCCGGCCAGTCAGAACCAGGGTCCCCAACGGGTTTTTCTAATTACCTTTTGTCTTTATTCCGACTTCACTGCCTTTTGATCTTGCTGGTCGCCGGTCGCTCTTTGAGACTCGCAGGGAGGCCGCTAGCTGCCAGCTCAATGTTTGGCGATTCCTAATCCGACGCTCCCATGACGGTTTTGCCGGTCAAGTGACTCGAAGCTGAATCACTTCCTTATCTGTCGTTTCGTCTTACCCTGTTCCATCACCGGCCAGCGCTCCATGCGGCATCTGGAGTTTTTACGGTTCCTAACATTCCCCTTCCATCCGACAGCTTCCAGCGACGTCCCCGTGCCCCTTGCTAGTGGACCACTCACATTGGCATTGTGTTTTGTTCCCAAAGTTGATCAATGGATGATGCGACTTCTTCCAATTACACATGCCTCCATTGCCGGATTTGCAATGGGTGACGAGATTGCAATTCGTCTCTGTCCCAAGCTGGTCCGGCCGCTCAACTGACATATAAGGATCATGGTGTTGGATGTCGAGTGTTGATGAAGGCCACAACCCGACCAACACAATCAATCTCCTTGTCCCTGACAGCCAGCAAGTCGTGCACTTTCGCCCGCTCCAACACCCTTCAGATCCATCCCGCCCTCCACAAGCCAACACCAGACCAAAATGTCTGGGTCTAGCTACTACCAGCGTCCCGCATCCAGGTACGCCGGCGAGATCCCCCCTCCTTCTCTTGCCGTGCCTCCCATCCTAACACGTCCCAGATACCCACAGTCGGCCTACAGCGGCTCTGCAAATACCTCTGGACGGCCTCGTGACACCCCTACCTACCAAACGCCCTACACCACATATACATCCTCACGAGACCCAATGGAGAGCTTTTGGATCACTGGACAGGAGACAAACAGGACGCAGCATGCGGCCGGCGAGGTGGCCAGGTTTGAACTGCAATGGAGCTCTGCCAGTCGTCGTTGAAAGGATCCGCTCTGGAAAGTCTTCTCATGCACCCTGGCCTTGTACAATCTTCCCTTCCTGTACACTAGTTAGTCGATACCCGGGCATCAAAGCACAAGTCAATTTATCAATCACCGTCTCGCAAACCTGCTCTCTCCACCAAACATCCACTCTTGAAGCCCTCGGCCCCCACCTCTCACGATCTTGCATCCGCGGCATCGTCGCCGACCACACCCACGAACCACGAGACGGGAAAAAAGCAAAAGCAACCGCAGACGGTGAGGTCGTGACTCCTCCACCTGGGCTCGAACCAGGGATCTCCCGATTAACAGTCGGACGCCTTAGCCAACTGGGCCATGGAGGATTAAAGGAGCCGAGTGAGGCTCGTGAGCTGGAATGTGGGAGGCGGTCTGGTTGAGGTTTGCTAAGACCTCACAACGGGGCGTGCGTGTCTGGCTCTCGTACCCAAAGTTTCGGGTTGGGCGCTTCGCAACGAAGGAGACGAGATCGCCGAGGAAGGCAAGTCGCGACTAAGCTTTTGCGCTCATCCGCAGGGAAGTTGGCAGTCAAAGTTGGCAAGCAAGGAGCCGTGGCATGGTGTATATCTAGCTCGATGCTAGAAGTGCCAAGATTTCTGAATCAGATAGCTTCTCGCACTTCCCGCAAGGTTTAACGATAGCCTTTTCGATCACTGGCAAACTGCCATCCGTTGATCATACGGATATGAGACGGTGTATGACGTGTAAAACACACAATCTTTGTCCAATATGAGTAGAGGCCTAGGAGCAGCCTCAGACGCGATCAGCATCACGGCTTCAATACACGCGGGTCCAAGTAGCCTCACACGCACGACTGGTTCTGGCGTCCGTTTTCTTTTGGGTCAAGCGACGCTGTTGGACCCCGCGCGTTTAAAGGCGGCGGTCAACCGGGTGCGGTATGCGTATGGATACCATAAACGGCCCGTCAATAACACGACGTCAACGACGAACTGAAACCACCAAGTCAGCAGCCGCCGGACCGTTATTTAGCTGGCGGAGTTCATCATGTATCGTTGTCCGGACAAAGGGTCACCGGCCGCTACAGTCTCGTCACTTGGTGAGCCTCAAAGCCTTGGCAGAGCAACTGAAACCGTCATCGCAACAGAAGCTGGGATGATCAGCCGCGACAACCACGATACCCGAACATGGTAGATCTTTGTTCCCCAGGAGGAATTTAGCTAGATCCGGAGGGGGAGGGAAGCTCGCGCCAGGCGGCGCACAGTCGAGTTTTACCCCGCCAGCGCACGAACCGTCACTGAGACACGTCTTCACTGACTTCACCTGATGTGTCTCTTCACTTCAACATGACAATCCTACCCCGGCCGGAACCATTCTTGAAGCCCAGTCTCCGTTTAGTCGGTTCAGTGAACCTTTGCGGAAACGATTCTAAATCGAAAAAGCCGCGACCCTCGGCTTGATGCGTCGTCAAGCCATCGACCACCGGCGAACAAAGACGCTTCCCTCCTCTGGAGCCCAATGAAACACCATGGCCGAGATAGGCCTGCGAAGAAAACGCTCGGCAGAGCCTGAAGGACAAGTCGACGAGAGCCCCCTCAAGAGGAGCCGCCCCAGCGACGCCCCTCATTTCAAATGGCTCTGGTCACCACCACATCCATCCGCATTTCCCTCTTCGGCGGGCCTGTGGGCGCAACCCGTCCCAGACGGAATGTTCCTCACCCGCCACGACCTTCCGTGCTCCTTCTCCGCGCCGCCGGAGCCCACGCACAGCAGACGTCCCCGTCGCCGAGGCGCCATCTCGGTGACACCCTCGGCCTCGCCGAGCCAGCTGGACCGGCACCTGGCCCAGCAGCTCCAGCAGCAGATCGCCGTCATCCGCCTCCAGTCAGCAGCCCAGTGTCGCACAACACTGGACCAGGACTGCCGTCAAGAAGACGTCCGCGACGAGAGCGACGCAGAGGTTGACCGGATACGCCGTGAGCTCGAGTCCGTGCAGATTGACGCCGCCCTGCCGTCCATCCTGGGCATCTCGATTGACTTTGATCGAAAACTTCGTCTCGGAGCCCCCAATAGTTCGTCAGAGGCTTCTAGGCACCGAGGTACGTCGGCCATGCACTTGAACGCAATTTCCCCATCCCCCCCCCCACAAAAACAAAAAAAAGGAATGACGGAACGTTGGAGTGTCAGAGGGAAGGAAAGCCAACTCATACATGGCCTAGGAGGGAGAGAGTCATGGGCCCTGCCTGTCAACCCATCATGAACCATACGCTGGCCGTCGATCAAACACATCGCTGAGGGAACGAGAACATGGTTCTCTAACAATGTCGCATAGACACAGATTCGCCCGCTATCTCGGGCCCGGCAGCCTCGTCTGCCTCCTCCTCTTCCAAACACTGCTGCCTCTGGGAGTCGGGCAAAATCAGTAAATTCGCCGGTGACCCAAGTCAAAGTCTCCAAGTGCCGTGTCACAACGGGCACGACATTCGGCAGCATGTAAGCAGCAGCAGCAGCAGTGGTCTGTGGAGGCGGCCGCGAATTTGAGACCAAACTCTCCTCCGCCAAGCCTTTGGTTCCAACACGCTTTCTTCACCCCTTCCTTCTCACACAGACTCAAGACAACGCCCCGCGGAGAGGAGAAAAGCAACATCGCACGGCGTTGGTGTGCGCATGAACTTCGATTGTAAGAATACTACCTATGTGTATGTGTGTGTATTATGTTGGGGATAAAGTGAAAATAATATGTTCGGGCATCATGGCCCTAGAGTAATTAAAGGACAGATTATAATGAATGTAATGTGTAGGCGCATTAGGCGTTTCCGTTGTTTCGAGGCCCCCAAACCAACCCACTGGATGGTCCACTTCCACCTTCACCTCGCACGCGGAGGCGAGCCTGACCCGATGAACGGCCAGTTGGTGTCCATCTCCCCGTAGGGCTGTCCGCGAGGTCACCAAACGGGCTCACAGTCTGCGTCCGCCTCAGCCAGTTTTTGCTCCCCTCCCCAAACTCGTCCGTCTCCTCGTCAACCCTGTCCAACTTCTCGTTCGCAAGCGCCGTGGTTGCCGGTGGTGCCACCGCCGCCGCCGCCGACGCCGACGAGTACACCGAGGACGAACGCTCCCTCGAAGGGGCTGGGTTGGATGGCAACCCACCAATTCCCGGAGGGGGATCCCTTGACTTTGGTGGGAATAGAGTAAAGGCCGGCGACTTCCTGGGCGACGGCGGTACTGGTATCGGTTTCCGTGTCACCGACGGTTCCCTCTGCAACGTCCCCGTGCCACTCGTTTGCGGCGGCGTGTTGCTCACAAACGTCGTTGCGCGCGAGAAGTTTGGTGCCCCGCCGCCAAAGTCGCTCATAGCATACCCCATCACGCCAGACGCTGTTGTGAGCGCAGTGTCCGGCCGCGTCGGCGATATGGGATGCTTGACGTCCTGGGGGTAACCGTTGCTCGCGTTCAGCCCGTTGGTGACCACGAGTGAGTCCTGCTTGGGTAAGCTGATCTCGCGGCGGAGGCCCCGTCCCGTCTGCTCTTTGCGTTTGTTGCGGCGGTAACGCGTGAAGAGGTAGAAGGCCAGGATCGTGAGGAGGGACGAGCCGATGATGGCTCCCACGACAGCGAGGGCGGCCTGCGTGACCGATACTGCGGCGCCTTGTGCTTGTTGCACCTGTAGCTTTGCGTCGTTCTGTAATATGGATTAGTTAGATGGCCGCCCATACCGAGACATCGGGAGACGTACCCTCGCAGACTGAGCCTCCTGCTGTGCGCTTTGCACAGCCGCGCTGGCCGACGACGTTGCAGAAGCAATGGCATTCGCCGCGCTGGAGCTAGCACTGGATTGTATACTCGCAATCTGAGAAGCTAGCTGCGTCGATGCGCTTGACGTAACCGAGGCCAGGTTCGCCGCAATCTGCCGACTAGCACTCGCACTCGCCGCGTTCTGGGCGTCGGCGATGCCCTGTCGAGCGCTCGCCTGAGCCTGGTTCACGGCGTTGTTGGCCGATGAAGTCGCCCGGTTGGCCGCATCGGTGGCTTGCCTCACTTGGTCCTGGGCCTGTCTCACTTGGTCGCTTGCCTGCTGGATAGCTTGCTGGGCTGACTGAGACGCCGACGCGATGGCCTGCTGGGCTGAACGCGAAATCGAGTTGATGGCATCCTGCGGGTTGCTGAGGTCTTGTCGAGCATCCAAGACGGAACCCCGAAGAGGGCCGGCGGTGTAGGCACTGCCAACACAACACGTTCTTCGAGAGGGGCCGGCTTCTTGCTGTTCGTCGACGCCGTTGGTGGCTGTGCCCGTTCGCCCAAGATACCGTCAAACGCTTTGTGACCTGCCCTCTTCCGCTGATGCTCCGCCGGTGACCTGCCGTCGCCCCCGTCCGCCATTCTCGCCCATCGTCCCTTTCCTTCATCCGCCGCCGCCGCCGCCAATAAGAAACAGTACAAAACAGAAAACAGTAATAGTTGTGGGAGGCAAGCCTTCACCATGATTTCATGTTGGTCGTATTATATGTGCCACCTCTTTTTCGAAAACATGTTATTCCTATGTGCAACAACGGGCCACCTCAAATCAACCTTCAACAGTCAAGACGAAACGAGTAAGAAAAGGAAAACAAAGACCAAATCAAAGGAAGACAGTCTCGAGGCGGCCCCGTCGGCGGCCGTCGCCCCCGTTATGAACTGCCTCGCCCGTGACTACCGAATGAGGGGCCCCACGGCCCTCGACCGGCTCGAGGACTTTACTGGTACCCAGTAACCGTTCGCCCCCTTGCCAATATTGCATCTCGTCAATGCTTTCGGCTTCACTGGGCGCCCGGCGACGGGGCCAGAACGGGGCTCGTCGTAACGATAACGGGAGCCCTGATAGATCGAATTAGCGCAGCACCGTCCCATCTTTTAATTCGGCCAGGCGCCCAGAGCTTGGGTGATGTAATGCGTATGGGGTTTCATAAGGCGATTCGGAAACAGCACCGTTGACAGAATAGGCAGGCGACTTAATGCCTGTCGATGGGCGGCTCTTATTGCACCTGCGGCGTCGACTCTCGGCTGCGTTCCGAGCTTGGTATTGTCTCAAAAGCCAAAGTTGATTTGGGCCCCCCGACCTGGCGAGGCTCTGCATGGGCACGCATAGGGAGGGGAACTTCAACTGGGAGATCGTCTCGAACAGAGTCGATCATCACGCTCTTGGTGTCGCATATCCCTGGAGAAGGTTGAGATTGGGGTAGCCGGGGGGAGAACCAAAAAGAACTCGGGACAAAAGTATTCTTACTTCTGAATCGTCCACTAAACGATCGTCTCAGAAGATGTGTTCGTCAGGGTCCGCCTCTCCTCCCATTTTGGGCAAAGAGAACGAAAAACCAGTAGGCTCCGCAGGGAACTGGCCCTTCGTTCGCGTCCCAGAATTCAGGACAAGATTTCGGAAGCCGGCGATGTAACCGCAAGCAGCGAGTCATCGCACGCAATTGCCGCCGGACGGTTGGCGCGCGCACCAAAGTTTGGATGGGTGGGGGGAAACAAGTCGAACGAGTTTAGGGAACGTTTGCTTCACATTGACCGTCTATATACCAGCGGGTGTTCCCGATCTTCTTTCTTTCTCATTCTCAATCGTATGGATCTGAGCGCACTTTCATATCAGCAGTTCAACCGATGCCCGTGCGTTACTGGCTGGCTGACACGCCGCCCATGCAAAACCAACCATATCTCCCAACGCCAGTCATGCATCCATCCTGACGGAGGATATCCCGTACCCTGCCAAACTGCGGCCAACATTTTGTTGTGGGGTGTGTGTGCCTGAGAAATCTCAATGTTTGTTGAGATGAGAGACTGGACGAAAAAGAAAAATAGAGCAAGGTCATGGTCCGCCGTTGACTTTGGCACCGGCTCGTAGCTTTTTGCTACAACATCCATGACACCTGTTGCGTGACGCCCGCGACCCGGCGGAACTTGCCTGGTCAGGGCCACACGAAACTTTGCGAGAAGAAGCGCTTTAAACAGGCAGCTTGAACTTCTTGCCCTTCATCACCTTGGTGTAGTAGATCCAGAAGAAGTCACTGTAGAGAACCGTCTGGACGATACCGGCAGTGATGGCGATCCAGTCAACCTTGTGGTTGACCTCGGTGAAGTAGCGGTAGATCCAGTTGGGGATATAGAGGGCACGGTAGATGCCCAGGGCGAAAAGGTAGTGGGTGGTGATGGTCTCGGCCTCGCCGGTGCGCTGGAGCATGAAGAGCTGGGGCAGGATGGCGACGGCCTCGAGCCAAATGGAGAAGGCCAGAGGATCTCCCAGAAGGTGTAGTAGTATGGGAAGAGGATGGCCAGGACTGCAGCTCCGCCGAGAAGGTACTGGACACGGAAAGTGTCCTGGTTGGGGTCGTTGGTCGGCTTGTAGGCGGTCGTCATCAAGTAGACGATGTAGCCTTGGGAGGTGATGAAGAGGATCTTGAACATGAGGTTCCAGAGACTCGAGGTCGAGAAGAGGTCTGGCAAGAGGCTGTGAGCTTTAAGCGGAAGGGATGCAGTGTTGGTTCGTCGTACCAAGGTATCTGGTAATGTAGACCAGGAAGTAGAGGGCTTGCGACTTGAACGAGATACCTGAGCAGCTCTGTAGACGAATTAGATGAGGCGATCGGGTGACGATATCGTAGGCGTCGCAAAGCTCACATTCAGTTGCACCATCTTATGGAGGAGGATGCCAATACTGGCAAGGTGGGACAAGTCCCCTGCAAGGCCATCTCATTAGCGGACGAGGCAAGCATCGCGGGAGAGCGCAATGTCTATGTTGGGTACGTACCAGCAATGCGAAAGAGGTTGAGCATCGTTGCGGTTTAGCTGTTGCGGCGTGGAAGCGATGGATCGCGAATTGGCGATGGGGAAGTGGGCAGCTTCAGATCGAATGGAGCTTCTAGCTGCCAGTGACAGCTGGGATTTGGAGTCGTCGTAGTCTAGCGAAAGTGCACTTTTTGCAGGAGGTGGTGTTGCGAGTGATGTTGCGTCGTGTCGTGTCGTGATGGCGACGAGGAATTGATCTATTGCCAGGGAGGTGGTGAGCTTCAACTGCGTCCGGCAAAGCTGGCAGCTGTTTTTTCTTCTTGCTCGGATTCCAGAAGGTCGAAAGGACACGAACGCGATTGCAAGCTCATTGGAAGCTGGAACCGACCACTCAAGCCACACTGACCAGGCCAGCTCAGCACTTTGTTCCAGGTTGCTTGCGTCTGCTTTCGCCTTACCTAAGACGCTGCCTGCCTTAGGTAAGGCAGCACCTAGGTATGTTTGAGACAGGCCTGCATTCGCAGGAGGCTCCACAGCGGGTAGCTGCCTTAGCCGCCAGGAACGAAATGAGCACGGGTCGTCTCCATCCGGGTAACCAGCCTTCTGCTGAGGTAATCTGGGCGGAATCCCCGAAGCATCGACGCGGAAGTCTCGGACCCACTTCCTAAAGTCCAGGCGCCGAGGCCGTCGGAGGCCGGCACTTCCAGGTGGCCCAGCTGTGACGTATTACAAAGCTGCCTGCACTGACAAACCCTCGGAAATCGCCATCACGAGCGGCCATCTGCGCCTCACTCAGTCCGATTCCTGCGCATTCCACGACGGCCACCCGCCACCGTATATAACCCCACGAACGGGCGATCGCTCAACGAGCCTCCGCAACCCTGTACATACATTTCGGCTCACATTTGCAACGCAGAATTCAAGTAATACCTTTGGCATCACGACTAGCACACCAACAACACCCCCACCATGGCCGAACCACACGTCGTCGAGTCCGACTACGACTCCTCCGACGAGACAATCACTATCACCCTCACCCACCGCAACACGCCGCACACCTTCAAATTCCCTTCCGATGGCACAATCACTCACCTCTCCGAAGACGTCGAAGACGCCCTCTCCATCCCGCCCTCGAACCAGAAATTCATCGTCCCGAAGCTCGGCCTCTTGAAGCCACCCTTCAAGGACCCGGACATGTCCCTCACCACGTTGCAGGACAAGAAAATCATGCTCATGGGCGTCGAGGCGAAGGAAGTCGCCTCGCTGCAAGCCGCGTCCGAGTTCGCCGCGAAACGCAACGCCGCGCGCAGCGCCGCGCGGCGGCAGAACCGGCCCTCCCGACGCCGCGACCAGGGCCGCGCGCAGGCCGACAGCACATACACGTTTCTCTCGGTGCGGCCGCTCGCGGGGCTGCCGCACCCGGAGCGGTCCCTCGCCCTCCTTGAGAAGCTCAAGGAGGACCCGGGCATCCGCGCGTCGATGCGCAAGCACAAGTTCAGCGTCGGCCTGCTGACGGAGATGGAGCCCCTGTCCAACACGCAGTCCAGCCACGAGGGCACGACGAGGCTGCTCGGACTGAACCGCAACGGCGGCGAGGTCATTGAGCTGAGGCTGAGGACGGACGCGCACGACGGGTACAGGGACTACAAGACCATCCGCAAGACATTGTGCCACGAGCTGGCGCACAACGTCCATGGCCCCCACGACAGGAACTTTTGGGACCTCTGCCACCAGATCGAGCGCGAGGTCGACGCCGCGGACTGGAAGCACGGCGGGCACACCGTGGGGCAGCAGTCGTCGTACTACGCGCCTGGGGCCGACGAAGAGGACGAGTTCGAGGACCACGGCGGCTGGGAAGGGGGCGACTTTGTTGTTGGCGGCAACGCTGCTGACACCAAGGGCCTCAGCCGACGGGAGATCCTGGCCAAGGCTGCGGAGGAGAGGGTCAAGAGGATGAACATGGAGAGGCGGGATGGCGGGAAGCCCGACTCTGGCCCACCGTCGTGAGTCTAATGTCTTCCGAGACGGGTTGAATTTGTGGTTTTTTGGTTTGTTTTGATGAACTCTCTTCATTTAGCATTGCGCGGCGTTGGTATAGACACGAGATACGAATTGGCCTCAGACGCCAGGATTATTCAATCAACTCATTCATGACGCATGGCTTCATGTATTTTTTACCATGAAGTGTTGGTGCACATATAAATTGGTAATGTGGTTTCTTCAACGTCTTTTTCATCCATGCGATGACCAACGATATACGAGCCTACCCACTGGGTGATGCTATTGATCCTACACAATACTCCGTCTTGTTGATGAATGCTATGAAAAGGCAAAGGTGTGCGACCTCGTCCGAGTGTCGTTCCTGTGTGGGAAAATCCCTGACCGTACAACTCCTAGATGTAATGCCATGCCGTATCCCGAAACGCCGCCAATGCATGCAAGCGTGCGGCGACGCAAAATGTTGCCGCCCAATATGTTGCGATTCCTTTTGCCGGGAACTGCCGTAACCCAAAGCTATCGTTCATCCTGAACCGAATTCCAATAACGCCATCTGCAATCAGACCAGATCATGAACACCCCATCTAGTGCTGCGTCTTTTGGTCGTTGGATTGCGGCACCTTGATCCATTCCTTCTGCTCGGGCTCCCATTTGTGTCTGCGTCTCGTGTTAGTCATGAAATTCAAGGCCAAATTCGATCCCCCTCCTAATAACCAAGCTTAAAAGGAGCATGAGCCACAACGCAACATTTTTTGACTTACCCAAGCCACTCGGTGGTCACCAGGCTCTTGCTGCCGTACTCCGCCGCCAGAATGTGCTCGAAGCTGTAGGGGATGGTGGCGGGGACGCCCTCGAACTCGGTCTCGCGCATGGGGAAAAGGTCGGTGGTGCGGTAGCGGTGGTAGTTTTTGCAGCTCCAGACACCCGGCATGCCGGAGGGGTCGCGCTCGGCGAGGCCGGTGATGTCGATGAAGGCGCCGTTGGCCATGTTGATCCAGCGGGCGTCGATGATGTTCTGGCCGTCGCCGCGGTCCTTGTCGGTGCCGTGGGGGTTGACGTCGAGGAGGTAGCGTTCCGTCCTAGTGTTGCCATCCTTGTCGGTCCAGTCGAAGTCGTGCTCGGTGCGGTTGAGGGTCTGACCCATCCAGTACAGAGTCGCCGTCGACACCTGGACGTCGAGGTCGTAGTCCCACGGCATGATCTTGCCGTTCCACCACCAACCCAGCAGGGTGCCGTGGGCGAGCCATGTCTCGACCTTGAGCTTCTTGGTTATGGTCAAGTAGGAACGGATGAGGTTGCGCAGGACGACACGGTGGTCGTCGTAGCCCACGGTTTCCTTGAAGTAGCGGATGTCGTAGTGTCCCAGCTCTTCGCCGCAGCAGGGCTCGTGGAAGTACTTTGTGTCTTCGCGCTTAACCAGATCTGCTGGTGAATCCGGGGTGTCGTTTCTAGGGGCTAGAGAGGGGTCTTCGCGCTCGACCAGAGCTGGTGATGCCTCCTGGCTGTTGTCTCTGGGCACTTGAGAAGGCGCCGCGGCAACAGTGGTAGTGAGGCCCAGCAGGGCAACGGGGAGAGCGAGACTGAAGCGCATGACTGCGATGTGTTGATGTGACACTTCAGTTGATTTGTGAGAGGACCGTAGTCGGAATCGGTCCGTCGGCAGCAAAAAGACTGTAACTATGTCGATCCGAGAGCCAGATAGGGAGGCTGCTGTTATTTTGGGAGGTCTCGCAATGCCAAGACGCCGTCGAGACTGAAGGTAGCAGGCGTAAGGCAAGAAGCAAGTGCAGGAGTTCCAAAGCACGGCTTTTGATGACAGGAACCTGAGGTCGTGGAGGTCGTGGAGCAAAGATAAACTAGACGGGGTATCACTGGAACTGGAATGACTGAAAACAAAAGGGTCCAGGCTAATCCGTTCGTTCGTGTGGCACACTCAAGAAAAAAGTCGACGACTCGGTCGTGGGTATCGTTAAGGCGCAGGTGGTGAGAGAAGGATGAGGTGAGACGGCTGCAGGCGTATAAGAGATATGCCAGCGGACGGACACGGGCGACTAGGCTCCCAGATGAAGAGTGCTGGATCGTAGGAGATCAGAGCATGAGAAGGGGAAATCGTCCTTGCAGGAGTTCAGACCGATGACAGACAGGATCGAGGGTAGGTAGGTTTATGTTACGGGGATGCCCAAGTACACGGTTGCCAAGAAGTAGGAGACAGAAGAGAAGATCGGAGCGAACATCAGAATTCAAGCGCAGCCGGGCACGAGGGAGGTGATATGTAAAATGTGGGATGGAATGGAGTGCAGCAACCGTGTACATGGAGTGAGTTGAGAGGTGTAAGAGCGAGCGCGGAGGGTGTGTAAGTGGGACTGTGGGTGGTGTGCGGCAATCCTGGTAGTCCAGTATTAGTGCAGCATCCCGAGTCCCGCCATGGCAGAGAATTCCCACGCAGAAGATGGAACTGCAACTGTTTTCTTTGGCTGGTAACCTTGCTGTACGGGATTTCTTGCCAAGATGCTGGGGCTGTCGCTTTTTGCTCCATCCTTTCCGAGTGTTCCTGCACCTTCTTTCTGCCGTTTCTTTTTTCTCCCTGTTCCCTTTCTGTTTTTGTTCACGGGGGCAGGACAACCAGATTGAAAGGAACCAAAAAAAGACCTCCAAAGCAACCAGGAACAAGGCGGGTGGAGGCAAGGGCGGTAAGGAATGCGAGAGAGAGGAACGCAGAACAGAAACTCCTGCGGCAGAGAATGGATGAGTAGGGTACGTACTCTGCCTGCGTACGACTGCAATATTCTATCCATGACCTCCCACATCCCTTTGCAAAACGAGTGTGCGCCCATGTAGTAGTGTACTGAGGGCGCGGAGGGTATGCGCCATGCGCCATGTTTAGGCGGCATACGTAATCCCGCGTCAAGAAGGGAGTCGATGGGGGAAACACCAAGGGGCCCGGACTGTTGCCGGTGGCCGGGGACTACGACGACGACGACAACAACAACTGGCGCCAGTGACAATGACAGGCCGCGTCCGTGGTGCGGGCTGTGGCATATGTGGGCCAACGTCTCCTTCCGGTTCCAAGTAGGTTAATTACACTCACTAGCAACGGCGCTGGCCATTGATTCCGAGTAGAGAAGCCAAAAAGAAGCTTGAGTACATGAATGGGATCCGGTGGGTGTAGCCCCGGGAAAGATGGGGATGGGCAGGCGTCGCGGGCTACGGTTGAGGAGGGGAGGAGATAGGGGATTGGGATACCAGAACCTGCAAATCTGCAAAACGTAGACGGGAGTGTAGAGGTGGCATGAGACGGAGTGGGAGGGAGTTGAGGAGTTGCAGTCTCTTCACTGGATGTCAGCGCATTACTGCGAGCCGTGTCGCGTGAGCTTCGCAGGGGTTGCGGCTGCGTTGCAGTAGCCAGAACTAGCACCGAAAGCCAAGGGACATGAAGATAGGCCGGAGTCTACAGGGAAGGGGGAAAGAAGAATAGGTAGAGAGAGAAAAAAGAGGGCTTAGACAGGGGGGAGGCTGCGCCGGTCGGATCGGTGTCGTGTGCTCTCCTTCTGCTTCCTTGGTGTTTTCTTGGTCCCCGTCACTGCATAAGCCGCTAGCGGC